CGGGCAAGTGCAGACAACAGCTGGTGCAGTCACTACAACAGCAGCAACAACAGCAGGCCCAGTGGAGACCACAGCCGGCCCAGTGCAGACAACAGCCGGTCCAGTGCAGACAACAGCTGGTGCAGTCACTACAACAGCAGCGACAACAGCAGGCCCAGTCGAGACGACAGCCGGTCCATTGCAGACAACAGCAGGACCAGTCCCGACAACAGCCGGTCCAGTGCAGACAACAGCCGGTCCAGTGCAGACAACAGCTGGTGCAGTCACTACAACAGCAGCAACAACAGCAGGCCCAGTGGAGACGACAGCCGGTCCATTGCAGACAACAGCAGGACCAGTACCGACAACAGCCGGTCAAGTGCAGACAACAGCTGGTGCAGTCACTACAACAGCAGCAACAACAGCAGGCCCAGTGGAGCCGACAGCCGGTCCAGTGCAGACAACAGCAGGACCAGTCCCGACAACAGCCGGTCCAGTGCAGACAACAGCCGGTCCAGTGCAGACAACAGCTGGTGCAGTCACTACAACAGCAGCAACAACAGCAGGCCCAGTGGAGACGACAGCCGGTCCATTGCAGACAACAGCAGGACCAGTCCCGACAACAGCCGGTCCAGTGCAGACAACAGCTGGTGCAGTGACTACAACAGCAGCAACAACAGCAGGCCCAGTGGAGACGACAGCCAGTCCAGTGCAGACAACAGCAGGACCAGTCCCAACAACAGCAGGACCAGTCCAGACAACAGCCGGTCAAGTGCAGACAACAGCAGGTCAAGTGCAGACAACAGCTGGTGCAGTCACTACAACAGCAGCAACAACAGCAGGCCCAGTGGAGACGACAGCCGGTCCAGTGCAGACAACAGCAGGACCAGTCCCAACAACAGCCGGCCCAGTGCAGACAACAGCCGGTCAAGTGCAGACCACAGCTGGTGCAGTAACTACAACAGCAGCAACAACAGCAGGCCCAGTGGAGACGACAGCCGGTCCAGTGCAGACAACAGCAGGACCAGTCCCGACAACAGCCGGTCAAGTGCAGACAACAGCTGGTGCAGTCACTACAACAGCAGCAACAACAGCAACAACAGCAGGCCCAGTGGAGACAACAGCCGGTCCAGTGCAGACAACAGCAGGACCAGTCCCGACAACAGCCGGGCAAGTGCAGACAACAGCTGGTGCAGTCACTACAACAGCAGCAACAACAGCAGGCCCAATGGAGACGACAGCCGGTCCATTGCAGACAACAGCAGGACCAGTCCCGACAACAGCCGGGCAAGTGCAGACAACAGCTGGTGCAGTCACTACAACAGCAGCAACAACAGCAGGCCCAGTGGAGACAACAGCCGGTCCAGTGCAGACAACAGCAGGACCAGTCCCGACAACAGCCGGGCAAGTGCAGACAACAGCAGGACCAGTGCAGACAACAACAGGACCAGTCCCGACAACAGCCGGTCAAGTGCAGACAACAGCTGGTGCAGTCACTACAACAGCAGCAACAACAGCAGGCCCAGTGGAGACGACAGCCGGTCCATTGCAGACAACAGCAGGACCAGTACCGACAACAGCCGGGCAAGTGCAGACAACAGCTGGTGCATTCACTACAACAGCAGCAACAACAGCAGGCCCAGTGCAGACGACAGCCGGTCCAGTACAGACAACAGCCGGTCAAGTGCAGACAACAGCTGGTGCTGTCACTACAACAGCAGCAACAACAGCAGGCCCAGTGGAGACGACAGCCGGTCCAGTGCAGACAACAGCAGGACCAGTCCCGACAACAGCCGGTCCAGTGCAGACAACAGCTGGTGCAGTCACTACAACAGCAGCAACGACAGCAGGCCCAGTGGAGACAACAGCAGGTCCAGTGCAGACAACAGCAGGACCAGTCCAGACAACAGCAGGACCAGTGCAGACAACAGCTGGTGCTGTCACTACAACAGCAGCAACAACAGCAGGCCCAGTGGAGACCACAGCCGGCCCAGTGCAGACAACAACAGGACCAGTCCCGACAACAGCCGGTCAAGTGCAGACAACAGCTGGTGCAGTCACTACAACAGCAGCAACAACAGCAACAACAGCAGGCCCAGTGGAGACAACAGCCGGTCCAGTGCAGACAACAGCAGGACCAGTCCCGACAACAGCCGGGCAAGTGCAGACAACAGCTGGTGCAGTCACTACAACAGCAGCAACAACAGCAGGCCCAATGGAGACGACAGCCGGTCCATTGCAGACAACAGCAGGACCAGTCCCGACAACAGCCGGGCAAGTGCAGACAACAGCTGGTGCAGTCACTACAACAGCAGCAACAACAGCAGGCCCAGTGGAGACAACAGCCGGTCCAGTGCAGACAACAGCAGGACCAGTCCCGACAACAGCCGGGCAAGTGCAGACAACAGCTGGTGCAGTCACTACAACAGCAGCAACGACAGCAGGCCCAGTGGAGACGACAGCCGGTCCATTGCAGACAACAGCAGGACCAGTACCGACAACAGCCGGTCAAGTGCAGACAACAGCAGGTCCAGTGCAGACAACAGCTGGTGCAGTCACTACAACAGCATTAACAACAGCAGGCCCAGTGGAGACGACAGCCGGTCCATTGCAGACAACAGCAGGACCAGTACCGACAACAGCCGGTCAAGTGCAGACAACAGCCGGTCAAGTGCAGACAACAGCTGGTGCAGTCACTACAACAGCAGCAACAACAGCAGGCCCAGTGGAGACAACAGCAGGTCCAGTCCAGACAACAGCAGGACCAGTGCAGACAACAGCTGGTGCTGTCACTACAACAGCAGCAACGACAGCAGGCCCAGTGGAGACCACAGCCGGCCCAGTGCAGACAACAACAGGACCAGTCCCGACAACAGCCGGTCAAGTGCAGACAACAGCTGGTGCAGTCACTACAACAGCAGCAACAACAGCAGGCCCAATGGAGACGACAGCCGGTCCATTGCAGACAACAGCCGGTCCAGTGCAGACAACAGCAGGACCAGTCCCGACAACAGCCGGGCAAGTGCAGACAACAGCTGGTGCAGTCACTACAACAGCAGCAACAACAGCAGGCCCAGTGGAGACGACAGCCGGTCCATTGCAGACAACAGCAGGACCAGTACCGACAACAGCCGGTCCAGTGCAGACAACAGCAGGTCAAGTGCAGACAACAGGTGGTGCAGTCACTACAACAGCAGCAACAACAGCAGGCCCAGTGGAGACGACAGCCGGCCCAGTGCAGACAACAGCAGGACCAGTCCCGACAACAGCCGGTCAAGTGCAGACAACAGCTGGTGCAGTCACTACAACAGCAGCAACAACAGCAGGCCCTGTAGTGACGACAGCCGGTCCAGTGCAGACAACAGCAGGACCAGTCCCGACAACAGCCGGTCAAGTGCAGACAACAGCTGGTGCAGTCACTACAACAGCAGCAACAACAGCAGGCCCAGTGGAGACCACAGCCGGCCCAGTGCAGACAACAGCAGGACCAGTCCAGACAACAGCCGGTCAAGTGCAGACAACAGCTGGTGCAGTAACTACAACAGCAGCAACAACAGCAGGCCCAGTGGAGACGACAGCCGGTCCATTGCAGACAACAGCCGGTCCAGTGCAGACAACAGCAGGACCAGTCCCGACAACAGCCGGTCAAGTGCAGACAACAGCTGGTGCAGTCACTACAACAGCAGCAACAACAGCAGGCCCTGTAGTGACGACAGCCGGTCCAGTGCAGACAACAGCAGGACCAGTCCCGACAACAGCCGGGCAAGTGCAGACAACAGCTGGTGCAGTCACTACAACAGCAGCAACAACAGCAGGCCCAGTGGAGACCACAGCCGGCCCAGTGCAGACAACAGCAGGACCAGTCCAGACAACAGCCGGTCAAGTGCAGACAACAGCCGGTCCAGTGCAGACAACAGCTGGTGCAGTAACTACAACAGCAGCAACAACAGCAGGCCCAGTGGAGACGACAGCCGGTCCATTGCAGACAACAGCAGGACCAGTCCAGACAACAGCCGGTCCAGTGCAGACAACAGCTGGTCCAGTGCAGACAACAGCTGGTGCAGTAACTACAACAGCAGCAACAACAGCAGGACCAGTACCGACAACAGCCGGTCCAGTGCAGACAACAGCAGGACCAGTCCAGACAACAGCCGGTCAAGTGCAGACAACAGCAGGTCAAGTGCAGACAACAGCTGGTGCAGTCACTACAACAGCAGCAACGACAGCAGGCCCAGTGGAGACGACAGCCGGTCCATTGCAGACAACAGCAGGACCAGTACAGACAACAGCCGGTCAAGTGCAGACAACAGCAGGTCAAGTGCAGACAACAGCTGGTGCTGTCACTACAACAGCAGCAACAACAGCAGGCCCAGTGGAGACAACAGCGGGTCCAGTGCAGACAACAGCAGGACCAGTCCAGACAACAGTCGGTCAAGTGCAGACAACAGCCGGTCCAGTGCAGACAACAGCCGGTCAAGTGCAGACAACAGCTGGTCCAGTGCAGACAACAGCCGGCCCAGTGCAGACGACAGCTGGTCCAGTGCAGACGACAGCCGTTCCAGTCCAGACAACAGCTGGTCAAGTGCAGACAACAGCTGGTCCAGTGCAGACAACAGCCGGTCAAGTGCAGACAACAGCCGGTCAAGTGCAGACAACAGCTGGTCCAGTGCAGACAACATCCGGCCCAGTGCAGACAACAGCCGGTCCAGTCCAGACAACAGCCGGTCCAGTGCAGACAACAGCCGGTCAAGTGCAGACAACAGCTGGTCCAGTGCAGACAACAGCCGGTCAAGTGCAGACAACAGCCGGTCAAGTGCAGACAACATCTGGTTCAGTGCAGACAACAGCCGGTCAAGTGCAGACCACTGCAGGACCAGTCCAGACAACAGCCGGTCCAGTGGAGACGACAGCCGGCCCAGTGCAGACGACAGCTGGTCCAGTGCAGACGACAGCAGGACCAGTCGAAACAACAGCCGGCCCAGTGCAGACAACAGCCGGTCCAGTGCAGACAACAGCCGGCCCAGTGCAGACAACAGCTGCCTCAGGACAAACTACGGTGGCAACGACAATTGCCGTCACGGCGATCCCAACGACCGCTGCCCCGGTGAGGACAACAGTCGCCGAACGGCAGACAACATCCGCCACGACGGCTGTGCAGACGACAGCGGCTGAGCTCGAAGCGACGTCCTCAGCGGTTACGACAACGGCCGGGCCGGTCCGCACGACAGCGGCCCCGGTCCGCACGACAGCGGCGCCGGTCGCGACCACCGAAGGCAGAATTCAGTCGACTGGTGCCCAAACCGTGGGCGCCGGGCAGACCACGGCGCCACAAGTGCCGACGGTTCTTCCGCCGACGATACCGCCCAACAACTGCCACCAGCTCAACCCTCCGCGCAAGGCAAGCCGAGGGGCACAGTCAGACGCACGCAACTACGTAGATGCTAAGGGGACAGGACCCAAACGACCGCTGAGGCGCTATTGTTCTTGTTTGACTTGCATCTCACTGGGATTTTTGCACACAGCGTTGGTGTACACGGTGTTTTTACTGCAATATTTTGCTCTCTTTTCTTGGATTTTCTGTTTGCACTCAGGCACATATTCACTTTAAGAAGTTTTTTTGTTCATGTTTTAGTTTTTTGTTTGTTGCGGTTGCACCTGATTCAAGAGCCGAATGGCTCACAGGGCTACACCTAATCAATGAACTTGAACTTGAACCCACTCACACCACCCCTAACCCACCCACGCCCCCCCCCCCTTCGTGGCGAGCAGCTGGGCGAGCAGTGGAACGAGAACGACTGCATGCTGGCGACGTGCATGGGCGACGGGTCGCAGGTCTCAATGACTAAGCGGCCGTGCGTGGTACCCACACCACCCGCCTGCGAGTCGGGCCGCCCCTCGCGACGCGTCACCGACCCCGACGGCTGCTGCTACCACTGGGAGTGCGACTGTGAGTTTGGGGGAGGGGGGGGGCTGGGGAAGGGGGGGGGGGTCAGCGGAGGTCAACGGGGTGACAGAGAGGTCGGGGGAGACGAGAGGACCTGGTAAAATACAAAATAGGATAGTTTTCGATTTAAAGCTTTCGTGACTGCAGGGATTCATCTTCTTGGTTCTTTCGGTAAAGTCACGTAGAAGGAAAGTAATACAATAATAAAAATAATAAAACATAATAAAATAATTCTCACGACGTTTCGGCCACAACGCAAGCCTAGGTCTGTCGGGGAGACCTGGTCTTCACCTGAGGACGGCTGCTTTCGTTATGGCCGAAACGTCGTGAGAATTATTTTATTATGTTTTATTTTTATTATTTTATTACTTCCCTTCTACGTGACTTTACCGAAGGAACCAAGAAGATAGGATAGTTTTATTTTAGTCTACGGGTCTTTATGTTTCTCTATGGGTCTCTATGCATATCTACGGGTTTCTGTATCTGCTGCTATGAATGTCCAAGTGATCATGATCATGAGAAGCCGCCCCAAAGTTGAGCCGCTATCATCTTAGACTGATGGCCTTAATCTAAGTTGTCTTGTGGTTGTTGTTGTTGTTGTTTGACTTGCATCTCACTGGGATTTTTGCACACAGTGTTGGTCTACGGTGCTTTTTCTGCAATATTTTGCTGTCTTTTCTTGGATTTTCTGTTTAGTCACTTTAAAGTGTTTTCTTGTTCATGTTTTTGTTTTCTGTTTGTTGCGGTTGCACCCGATTCAAGAGCCGAATGGCTCACAGGGCTATACCTAATAAATAAACTTGAAACTTGAACTTGATCTGTGATAGGGCAAGTCTCACTTCGACAAAAAGAGCTACATAGCTCAGTGAGCCCTGAGCTGGTAAAATAGGAAATTGTTTCGTTCGTCACGTGACTCGCCAATGCGTCGCCGCTCACCTCCTCCATCCCCTCCGTCCGCACACGCGCTTCCCGCAGGCATCTGCACGGGCTTCGGCGACACGCACATGCAGACCTTCGACGGCGCGCGCTTCTCCTCACCGGGCAACTGTTCGTACATCCTTGTGGAGGAGCGGGAGAAGCTCCACGACTTCACCATCGTCGCCGACAACTTCGACTGCGTCTCGACGCCGCTGGCCTCCTCGTGCACGCGAGGCCTCGTCATCTCCTACCAGGGCAACGTCCTGCGCGCCACCATGACTTCCAGCGGCAATCCCAGCGAGCGCAAGGTGTGTGGCCTCCGGGGCGACGATGGCGGCGGCGACGGGGATAGGCCACCACGTGGTCAGGTGTCGCTTCTGCCAAAATGGCGGCTTAGTAGCAGCTCAGTGGTGGGGGGTCTTAGACCTGGTCACAAGAAAAAATATATAGTTCAGTTTATTTTTATTCCCCTTCTCGCCGGCTTGTCTCGGCTTGGCAGGCCACCCTCCTACTGCGTGCCATCCGCACCCCCTCCCCCCCCCCCCCCCCCCCACGGGATATGGAAGTTGCCACCCTCCCCAGCCGTCCGGCCTGCTGCTGTGGCTGTACCGTGACCTCCCTCTGTCTCCTCTCTCTCTCATCTCCCTCGTCGTCGTCTCTCTCTCTCTCCCCCGGCAGTTCATGTTGAACGGGAAGACCAAGAAGGCACCCTTCAATGAGCGCGGCTTCCAGGTGTCCACCGTCAAGACCGACGACATCATCTTCATCAAGGACCTGCGCGTCCGCGTGCAGTTCAACGGCCTCGGCTTCCTCATCGACCTGCCACGAGATATCTTCTGGGACAACACGCAGGGACAGTGCGGTACGCGAGACGCGGAGACGCGGAGAGGGACCGGCAAATCCGCCCGTGGGGAGAGAAACGCGGGGGACAGAGAGGGAGAGAGAGAGAGAGACGCACATGGGATGAGAGATGCGCCGGTGGAGACACGGGGAGGCGTAGAGAGATGCAGGAAGATGCAGAGAGAGAGAGACAGGGGGAGGCGTGAGAATGCACGGCGAGGCACGGGGAAGCATAGGGAAGGAATGGGGAGACGTGGAGAGACATGGGGAGATACGGGGAGACATGTGTAGACACGGGGAGACACGGAGAGACAGATGTAGACGCAGAAACACACCGGGAGGAATGCAATCGGCACAGGAAGATCCAGGGGCGCACGGCGAGGTTGTCGTAAGACACGGGTAGCCACCGGAGGGTGTGGGAATCTCTGCAGGGTACGGGAAGGGTAGCAGAGGCAATGGGGAGAGAGATGATGAGGGCAGTGCAGCGAGTAAACCTCCCTTGTACCTATTCTTACGTTTTTTCGGTAAAGTCACGTAGTTAAAAAAATTAAATTGATAAAAATAAAATTAAAATTAAACCGCCACAGCACGATAGCTGTAGCAAGTGATACAGCTATCGTGCTGTGACGGTTCCACCTGAAGACGGAGGCTTGTGTTGCCTCCGAAACGTCGTGATTTTTATTTTATTTTACTTTTATTAATTTTTATTTTTTACCTACGTGACTTTACCGAAAAAACCTAAGAATATATGAATCCTTGCAGTCACGAAAGCTTCAAACCTCCCTTATATCTCCCACCCCCCACCCCCCTGTCTGTCACCGTCGCCACCACGGCCGCAGGCACGTGCAACAACATGCGCAAGGACGACTGCATGGGCCGCGACGGAATTCCGCGGGCGGCCGAGTGCTGCGCCGTGGTGGCGGGCGACTGGATGACGGACGACCCGGACAAGCCGCAATGCATGCGCGTGCTGCTGCCCGCAAAGCTGAGCTGCGCCGGCGGCGCCACGCAGGCGATGACGTGCGCCGGAGCCGACGAGTGCAACGCGCTCATCCTGCAGTGAGTTGCTCGTCGGTCTCGTTCGCGTGCGGGCGCCGCGGGAATGTGGGTCTGTGGGTCTACGGGTCTGTGGGTGTATGGGTCTGTGAGTCTATGGGTCTGTGGGTCTGTGGTTCTGTGAGTCTATGGGTCTGTGGGTCTGTGGCTCTGTGAGTCTACAGGTCTGTGGGTCTGTGGGTCTGTGGGTCTGTCGGTCTGTGAGTCTACGGGTCTGTGAGTCTTCGGGTCTCTGAGTCTACGTGTCTCTGAGTCTACGGGTCTGTGAGTCTATGGGTCTGTGAGTCTACGGGTCTGTGAGTCTATGTGTCTCTGAGTCTACGGGTCTCTGACTACGGATCTCCCCCCCCCCCCCCCCCCCCCCGGTGACCGCAGGACGTTCCAGTCATGCTCCGCTGTGGTAGACCTGTCGGGCTACTTGGAGGGCTGCAAGAGCGACCACTGCAAGCCACGCACAGAGGCCCTGGACTGCGCCGGGGCCCAGCTCGCCGCGGCCGAGTGCGGCCGCGCCGGAGTGTGCGTCAACTGGCGCCCGCTCGTCCCCGACAAGTGCCGTGAGTTCGCCGCGCAGGCCGTCGCGACGTCTCCCGGTGCAACGCGTCCGCCGGCATGCAGCGTGGAGCGTTGACGCGTCCCGTGTGAAGCGTGGAGTACGAAGCAGAGGTCGCAAACGGGTTTTGATTCCTTACCCGTACCCGTACCCGGCCGCACCAGGGTCGCAATCGGGTACCCATACCCGAACCCTACCCAATACCCGGCTACCCGTACCCGGCCGGGTATTGGGTAGGGTACGGGTATCGGGTACCCGATTGCGACCTCTGGGATGAAACCATGTTGCAGGCGTGGGTGGGTTGATTCTAGGAACTTGAATTGTGAGAAGAGACAAGACGTTGGGAAATGAGTGACAAACGGTTACTCACCAGTGACTCACGGCCTACCCGTACCCGGCCGCACCAGGGTCGCAAACGGATACCCGTACCCGGCCGGGTACGGATAGCCGGGTATCGGGTAGGGTACGGGTATCAAGTACCCGGTTGCGACCTCTGGTACGAAGTGTGGAGTGTGATGCCTTCCGTGTGAAGGGTGGAGTGTGACCCCTTTGATCCGAAGCGTCGAGTGTGACGCATCCGATGCAGAGCCTCCGCCGACCTCGCACGCATTAATGGGTACACCAGAGTCGATCAGCCGTAGTGGGGTGTAAAATGTGGGAACTCTCACCTCTTCCAGAGATGTACTGGCCAGCGTGGAAGAGTAGGCCAAATACCCTTCGAGAGCAGCCCCCATCTCGTGGAGACGCTTGTGGCTGGCAGCGGTGGTATCAGCGCTCAAGGGTTGTGCCGAGACTGTGTGTGTGTGTGTGTGCGCGTGTGTGTGTAGTTGGCATAGTAGGGGGGCACAGGTGGTGCATCGGCCAGTAGTCATCTCAGTCAGTCGACCCGTGGCACCTGCTGGGTCTGCCCCGTGACCTCCTCCTGCACCTAGCCTGGCACAGTGGGGGACACAGGTGGTGCATCGGCCAGTAGTCATCTCAGTCAGTCACCCGTGGCACCTGCTGGGTCTGCCCCGTGACCTCCTGCCAGCGGGCGTTCAACACTTCACGTAGCCTCAAGGTGCACCTAGTCTGGCACAGGCGTCGCGGTAATATCACCACCACTTCATGGCGAATGACGATTGTTGTTGTTGTTATTGTGTGTGTAGTGTAGCGGTTAGCGCACTGCGCTATGAACCTGGCGACCTGAGTTCGATTCCTGCTCATGACCAATACCGGTGACGATTATCTGAATTGGTCTTGGGCCTTCCCTAGGTCGACACAGTCTCAAATGAGTACCTGGTGCGGTGTGTACAAACATCGTCATTAGGGAGACAAAGTCGGCCGGGCGTGATGCTGGCCACCCACCCCCTCGTGTGCCGTGCCGGCCTTCATAGGTGCTACTCGCTAACGAGTAGCACCTATCAACGAGTAGCACTTGCCCGAACAGTCTGTTAAGGTTATATGGGGGATCTTTGTCTTTGTCTTTGTGTGTGTGCAGCGTTTACATGCCCTGGGAACATGGTGTACAAGTACTGCGAGACAAAGGCTACACCTGTGTGTGGCCTGGACAGGTAAGGAAGTCTCCATGTGGGCGAGTGAGTGTCTGTGTGTGTGTCCGTGTATGTCTGCGTTGGCTGGGTCACGCAGCCCGCATGCCCAGCCGCCGCATGCCAAAAGTGGCTTCGAGTTTGGCCACATAGAGGGGGGCTAAACGGGCACGACACGGGCTGGAGAGGAGATAGAGCTGATGCGGTACGAGAGGACGTGGAGCTGAGTAGACTTGCCGATGACCGGTACCAGCGGTGTCAAGATCAGCCTCTATGGAGGAGGAGGCTTGTGAAGGACGCTGTTGCTGATACTGGGCAGTTGGAGGCAGTCGACCTCCAGCAACAACGGAGGGCAGAGGAGCGACGCTCACAATAACGAGCGGAGCGCCGGGTGGCTAAAATGCCGCAATGTGGCAAAGTAGGGGATACAGCTGGTGCATCTTCCATTCATCTCAGCCAGACAACCCATGGCACAGGTGGTGAATCGGCCATTCATCTCAGTCGGTCGACCCCGTGGCACCACCTGGGTCTGTCCCGTGACCTCCTCCTGCACCTAGCCTGGCACAGGCGGTGCATCGGCCAGTCATCTCAGTCGGTCAACCCGTGGCACCTGTGCCTGGCACGGGCGCCGTGGTGACGTCACCGTCACTTTTGTGGCAAATGACGGGGCATTGATGTTGGCATCCGGCGTCTGTGTGTGTGTGTGTGTGTGGGGAGCTGTAGTAATGTAGCGGTTAGCACGCTGCACTATGAACCTGGCGACCCGGGTTCGATTCCCGGTCCCGGGCCTCCCCTAGGTCGATTCAGCCTCAAAAAACAGTACCTGGTGCGGTGTGTAAACATCGCCGCTAGGGAGACAAAGGTGGTCGGGCGTGGTGCTGGCCACCCACCCCCTCGTGTGCCGTTCCGGCCTTCATAGGTGCTCGTTAACAGCACTTGCCCCTACAGTCTGTTAAGGCTATACAGGGGATCTTTATCTTTGTCATCTCGGTCAACCCACCCTACCTAGGCAAGTGCTGTTAGCGAGCACCTATGAAGGCCGGAACGGCACACGAGGGGGTGGGTGACCTCCTGCCGCGAGCCTTTCGGCACTTTCACGCGGCGGCCTCAAAGTGCGATCATGTGCCTTGCACGGGCGGCGCTGCCGTCGTATGTCGGCGCGCTCTTGACGCGGCTGTCTCCTCCGTCCGTTCAGAATCGATGCATCGAACCTGTGGAAGGGAGAGGGCTGCTACTGCGGGGACGGACAGCAGCTGCTGCAGGCCGGATCCTCCACCTGCGTGACCACGTGTCCAGGTAACGCGGGCACGCAGCAAAGGTGTAGCCCGTGTAGCCTGTGGCCTGAGACTATCGGGGCAAGTGTGCTGTTAGTCGCGGGCACCTATGCAGGCCGACACTGGCACACGAGGGGGTCGGTGGCCAGCACCACGCCTGGTCGCCTTTGTCTCCCCAGTGGCGATGTTTACTACATACCTAGGGGAGGCCCAGGACCAGTTCAGATAATCGCTGTCGCTGGTGTTAGCCGTGAGCGGGAATCAAACTCTGGTTGCCGTGTTCATATCGCAAGCATAGCGCTAACCGCTACCACAAACACATACGCACACGCACGAACGCATACACACACACAAGCACATTTGTCCTTCCACCCGCACCTCCAATTAGCACGGTTGGCTACCTAGTGCGCAAAAGAAATTCAACATACATACACACAACTATGGACACACGCACACATCCATACACTCACCCATGTGCCACGTGAGATCCTGGTTGTGACCTCTGCGCTCTGTGCGTGTTTTTTCACAGAGTGTTGGTCAGACAGCGGTGAACCGAAATACGTGAGTACCTCTTCGTACCATCGCCACTAATACTCGCCATGCCCCCCCCCCTCTACTTAAACCTTTCCTATGAACGTTGGCGTGTACGTCTTCGGCCTTCCCTCCGAATCAATATCTGATTATCGGTTTTTCGAAAGTGGGGCAGTGCCACTGCCCGCGACGTTTCGCCAATCCGCGAGCACCTCCGGAAACGCATATCGCTCGTCGCGAATGACGAGGCTAAATCCTCGCACCTGACTACGCATACATTGACCGGCCGATCGGCTGGCTGACGATTGGTTGACTGACCCCAGCAACAGACTGGTCCGCCGGCTGACAATTGGTTGACTGGCCCCAGCAACAGACTGGTCCGCCGGCTGACGATTGGTTGACTGACCCCAGCAACAGACTGGTCCGCCGGCTGACAATTGGTTGACTGACCCCAGCAACAGACTGGTCCGCCGGCTGACGATTGGTTGACTGGCCCCAGCAACAGACTGGTCCGCCGGCTGACGATTGGTTGACTGGCCCCAGCAACAGACTGGTCCGCCGGCTGACAATTGGTTGACTGGCCCCAGCAACAGACTGGTCCGCCGGCTGACAATTGGCTGACTGGCCGAGCGACCGGCCGGCCGGCTGGCTTACGATTGGATGACTGGCCGAGCGAACGATCGGCCGGCTGGCTTACGATTGGCTGACTGGCCGAGTGACTGGCCGGCCACCTGGCTTACGATTGGCTGACTGGCCGAGCGACCGGCCGGCTCGCTGGCTTACCATTGGCTGACTGGCTGACCAACCGACCGGCTCGCTGGCTTACGATTGGCTGACTGGCCGGGCGACCGATCGGCCGACTGGCTTACGATTGGCTGACTGGCCGAGCGACCGGCTGGCTCGCTGGCTTACGATTGGCTGACTGGCCGAGCGACCGACTGGACGGCTTGGCTGACGATTGGTTGACTCGGCGCAGGTCGGGGACCAATGGAAGGAGGGCTGCGAACAGTGCGAGTGCCTGGAGGGAGGCAACGTGGAGCGCACGGCGCTGCCCTGCAAGCTGCCCACTATCACCTGCCCCATCGGGGTCAACCTGGTCCCAGCGCCCACCCCCATCACGGAGGACATCATCACCACCACATGCTGCCCCCGCGTGGAGTGCGGTGAGGAGCGAGGCCGTGAGGGGTCACGGGCAGGGAGTTCACGGGAGGGGGTCACGGGAGAGGGTCACGGGAGAGATTCTGGGGAGAGGTCACGGGAGAGATTCAGGGGAGAGGTCACGGGAGAGGTCACGGGAGAGGTCATGGGAGAGTGTCACAGGAGAGGTCGCGAAAGAGGTCACGGGAGAGGTCATGGAAGAGATTCAGGGGAGAGGTCGTGGGTGAGGTCACGGGAGAGGTCACGGGAGAGGTCACGGGAGAGGTCACGGAAGAGGTCATGGGAGTAGGTCACGGGATAGGGTCACGGGAGAGGTCATTGCATCGGATCACGCACGAGAGAGAGTCACAGCAGAGGGTCATAGAAAAGGTCATGGGAGAGGTCGTAGGACAGTGTCACGGTACAGGGTCACGGGACAGGGTCACGGGGAGAGATTTTTGTACTTATGCCCACCCCACATACACAACAAGAGTTACGGGAGCTGGTCACGGGAGAGAGTCACAGGAGAGGTTCATGGGAGAGGTTCATGGGCTAGGGTCATGGGAGAGGTTCATGGGACATGGTCACGGGACAGGGTCACGGGAAAGGTCACGGGAGAGATTGTTGTATTTATACCCACCCAACATACACAACAAGAGTCACGGGAGCTGGTCACGGGCGAGAGTCACAAGAAAGGTTCATGGGCTAGGGTCACGGGAAAGGTCATGGGAGTGGGTCACGGAAGAGAAGCGCCGTCTTTCCGTACCGCGGGTTTTGACCGAGCTCTGTGCTGCTTTTCTCTTTCAGCTGCCTGCAGACACAGCGGCTCCGTCTATCAGGTGAGCTCGCGACGCCCATCACGCGATGCCTCGCTGACCAGCGGCGGTGGCGGTGGCGACCGCCCTGAGCCGCAGACTGTGGGTTCGATCCCGACCCAACTGCTGTATATTTGGAGTTTGTGTCTCTCTCGCTCTCCCTGTGGTGGCGTGGATTTGTCTCCACATTTAGAATCAGCATCACTGCGCATTTGAGAGTATTCGACTGCCGTGAATGTCCACGTCATGATAATGATGCTGACAAGCCTCATCATGAGACCTCCTTTGCCAGTAGCAAAATATGATAATAGGTTGTTTTACCCTTTAATGTGGCAACAAAACTGACACCTTTTTACAAGGGATGATGTTTGCATTAACTACAATACCTGCGGTCAAAATGCAAACAAGAAAAAAACAGCACTCTGATAATGTATGCATTGTCTTTGAAATTGATTGGTCCACACCCGAGACAGCTTCTGTTTTTTTAGAGCCCAGTCTCATATGGTGTTCGACCCAGATGACGCCTTTTGGCGTCATCAGATGACCGCAGGTATTGTGGTTAATGCAAACATGATCCCTTGTAAACGGGTGTCAGTTTTGTTTCCAGATAAAAGGGTAAAAAACCTATTATCATCATGATCGCTTCGAGAAAAGAGCGACATAGGTCAATAGTGTCCTTAGCACCTGGCAGCAATAAGCAAAACGAGTTTAAGCGCATTTGGCTACGTACAGTGGTGCTAAAGAAGTTCAACGTACACACAACCTATTATACACTACACTATACACTACTATACACTACACTATACACTACACTATACACTATAGTATACACTACACTATACACTACACTATACACTACACTATACACTATAGTATACACTACACTATACACTACACTATACACTACTATACACTATAGTATACACGACAATATACACTACACTATACATTACTATACACTACAGTATACACTACACTATACACTACTATACACTATAGTATACACTACACTATACACTACACTATACACTGCTATACACTATAGTATATACTACACTACTATACACTATAGTATACACTACACTACTGTACACTGCACTACTATACACTACACTACTATACACTATAAACTACACTACTGTACACTGCACTGCTATACATTGCACTACTATACACTACACTACTATACACCATTATACACTAAACTATTAAACGCTACGCTACTATACACTACACTATACACTACACTATTACACGACTCTACTATACACTACACTACAGTACACTACTATACACTACACTATTAAACACTACACTACTACACACTATTTCCCACACCACTATACTACATTGAGAACTGCTGCTTGTTGCTGTTGTTGTCATGTATTATTTTGTTGTCCTGCACTGGCTCAGCCACGGTCGCCTTACGCGCATGAGTACGCACGATTTAAAGCTTTCGTGACTGCAGGGATTCATCTTCTTGGTTCTTTCGGTAAAGTCACGTAGAAGGGAAATAATAAAATAATAAAAATAAAACATAATAAAATAATACAATTCTCACGACGTTTCGGCCACAACGCAAGCAGCCCGTCCTCAGGTGAAGAACAGGTCTGTCGGAAAGACAGCGCTGAATGAACACCGCCCAAGCTTGGCAGCGTAATTTTTTAAGCTGGGTTAGGGGGGGGGGGGAAGAGCGCCTTGACAAAGGAATTTGCATATCAACAGCATATCAACGGAGGAATTCCGGTAAATGGACGCGTTCCGCACGTGCAAACCAACCAACCGCTGCCGTGAATGCCGGCGTTTGCGCGCAGGTCGGCGACACGTGGACAGACAACAACGACATGTGCCTTCGTTTCTCCTGCACCGCCGTCAGCGGCTCGGCCGCCATCGTCGAGAAGATGATCACCTGCGCGCCATTCGACTTCAGCAAGTGCAAGGTACGTTCGGTAGGCCTCGGCAAGGTATGGTAATTGTACCATTTTTACCGGGTAAAGGTAAAGGTGTCGACATGCCAAGGGGTAAGGGTAAAGGGTAGGGTAAAAAGTAGTCTCGTTGTTTTTACACTTTTACCTTACCTGCTAAAGGGTAAAATGTAGGGTAGAGTGATTGTATTGTGGTAAGGTAAAAGTTAGGGTAAATGTAGGCTCGTTGCTTTTTACACTTTTACCTTACCTGCTAAAGGGTAAAATGTAGGGTAGAGTGATTGTATTGTGGTAAGGTAAATAGTAGGGTAAATGTAGGCTCGTTGCTTTTTACACTTTTACCTTACCTGCTAAAGGGTAAAATGTAGGGTAGAGTGATTGTATTGTGGTAAGGTAAAAGTTAGGGTAAATGTAGGCTCGTTGCTTTTTACACTTTTACCTTACCTGCTAAAGGGTAAAATGTAGGGTAGAGTGATTGTATTGTGGTAAGGTAAAAGTTAGGGTAAATGTAGGCTCGTTGCTTTTTACACTTTTACCTTACCTGCTAAAGGGTAAAATGTAGGGTAGAGTGATTGTATTGTGGTAAGGTAAAAGTTAGGGTAAATGTAGGCTCGTTGCTTTTTACACTTTTACCTTACCTGCTAAAGGGTAAAATGTAGGGTAGAGTGATTGTATTGTGGTAAGGTAAAAGGTAGGGTAAATGTAGGCTCGTTGTTTTTACACTTTTAACTTACCCTGCTAAAGGGTAAAAGGTAGGGTAGAGTGATTGTATTGTGGTAAGGTTAAAGGTAGGGTAAAGGTAGGCTCGTTGTTTTTACACTTTTACCTTACCCTGCCGAGGCCTAGCGTTCGGGGAGGAACGCCTCGCGCGTAAAATCTCGACTTGAAGCTTTCGTCCATGATAAGAGGTGTTTTGGGGGTTAGCGTAAATATATAAATGTGTCGTTAAAACCCACCGCGACCCGACATGGCCAACGAGTAAGGGTTGTCACGTCAACAGAACGTGGCGAATTCGTCACTAGTACAATACTAGTGTATAGTGTAGTGTATAGTAGTGTATAGTGTAGTGTATAGTGTAGTGTATAGTGCATGGTAGTGTATAGTGTAGTGTATAGTGGAGTGTATAGTAGTAGTGTGTAGTGTAGTGTATAGTGTATGGTAGTGTATAGTAGTGTAGTGTATAGTGTAGTGTATAGTGTAGTGTATAGTAGTGTATAGTGTATGGTAGTGTATAGTAGTGTAGTGTATAGTGTAGTGTATAGTAGTGTATAGTGTATGGTAGTGTATAGTAGTGTAGTGTATAGTGTAGTGTATAGTAGTGTATAGTGTATGGATAATGTTTAGTAGTGTAATGTATAGTGTAGTGTATAGTGTAGTGTATAGTAGTGTATAGTGTATGGTAGTGTATTGTAGTGTAGTGTATAGTGTAGTGTATAGTGTAGTATACTAGTACAGCACACCGGTGTGTTGGAGAGCCAAGCCACGACATTTACAACCAGCTTCATCAGGCGACGGCGAGCTTTCGTTCACCACGGGAATTCACATTCTTGGGGTCTTTCAGTAAAGTCACGTCGATAGCTTCAAAGAAAATAACAAACAAAAACACGAAATTGCGATCGCAATGCAAGCAGTCCTCATCAGGAAAGCAGAGGTCGCAAACGGGTTTTGATTCCTTACCCGTACCCGTACCCGGCCGCACCAGGGTCGCAAACGGGTACCCTACCCGATACCCGGCCGGGTACGGGTATCGGGTACCCGATTGTGACCTCTGCAGGAAAGGCAGGGGGGGTGGTTAGCTTCTAAAGTCAAACTGTTTGTTCTGTGTGCGATTTGTGCTGTTTGGCTTTGTCTTCCTACCAGTCGGACCCCATCTACGATGACTTTGGATGCTGTCCTCTGTCATGTGAGTTTTTGTACTTTGCATGCATACAGGGTGTCCCACTACACTATACACTACTATATACACTACACTATACACTACTATATACACTACACTATACACTACTATATATGCACACTACACTACACACTACTATATACACTACACTATACACTACACTATACACTACACTATATACTACTATATACACTACACCATACACTACTATATATGAACACTACACTGTACACTACTATATACACTACACTATACACTACACTACACACTACACTATACACTACACTATACACTACACTATACACTACACTACACAAAACAAATATAAATGAGATATTTTGCCCTACGATTGCAAGACTCATGTAGACACACACACACACACGCACTCTTTTATATATATACGTTTATATGTTTAGTGACTTTGCTCACCCTCTTGGCCATCGGCGTTTGTCGTCGCAAACGTCGCTAACCCCTGGCAGCTCATCGGATTCCTGCTCCGGGAGAAACGATGCGTTGAGATTTAATCGGCAGACGGGGCCGATGATGATGACGCGGATGATGATGCTGCTGATGATGATGATGATTCTGCTGCTGATGATGATGATGATGAGGATTCTGCTGCTATTGATTTTGCTGTGTGATGATGATCCTGCGGATTCTGATTCTGCTGCTGATGATGATTCTGCTGCTGATGATGATGATTCTGCTGCTGATGATGATGATTCTGCTGCTGTTGATGATGCTGCTGCTGATGATGATGATTCTGCTGCTGATAATAATTCTGCTGCTGATGATGATTCTGCTGCTGCTGCTGATGATGATTCTGCTGCTGATGATGATGAGGATTCTGCTGCTGATGATCCTGCTGCTGCTGCTGATGATGATGATGATTCTGCTGCTGACGATGATGCTGCTCCTACTTCTGCTGCTGCTGCTAATGTTGCTGCTGCTGCTGATGATGATGATGATCCTGCTGCTGCTGCTGCTGATGATGATGATGATGTTGCTACTCGTGCCGCGCAGGTGAGAAAGACCCGGATGCGTCCATCACCAAGTGCGAGGTGCTGACGTCCTTGGAGAAGATCCAGGTGGATAGCTGCGTGTCCGACGACATCTCCCTGAGCCACTGCAGCGGAATGTGCCTCTCCCTTTCCCGGTAAGCCAATGATAGTGGTGATGTTGATGGTGGTGGTGGTGATGGTGGTGATGGTGGTGGTGGTGGTGATGGTCGTGGTGATGGTGATTGTGGTGGTGGTGATGGTGATGGTGGTGGTGATGATGGTGGTGGTGATGATGGTGGTGGTGATGATGGTGATGATGGTGGTGATGGTGGTGATGATGATGGTGATGATGATGGTGATGATGATGGTGATGATGATGATGGTGGTGGTGATGGTGGTGGTGATGGTGGTGGTGATGATGGTGGTGATGGTCGTGGTAATGGTGGTGGTGGTGATGGTCGTGGTGATGGTGGTGATGATGATGATGATGGTGGTGATGGTGGTGATGATGATGATGATGTTGATGGTGGTGGTGATGGTGGTAGTGATGTGGTGATGGTCGTGGTGATGGTGGTGGTGATGGTCGTGGTGATGGTGATGGTGGTGGTGGTGATGGTGGTGGTGATGATGGTGGTGGTGATGGTCGTGGTGATGATGGTGATGGTGGTGATGATGATGGTGGTGATGATGGTGGTGGTGATGTGGTGATGGTCGTGGTGATGGTGGTGGTGATGGTCGTGGTGATGGTGATGGTGGTGGTGGTGATGGTGGTGGTGATGATGGTGGTGGTGATGGTCGTGGTGATGGTGATGGTGGTGATAGTGGTAATGATGATGGTGGTGATGATGGTGGTGGTGGTGATGGTGATGATGGTGGTGATGGTGGTGGTGATGATGGTGATGGTGGTGATGGTGGTGATGTGGTGATGGTCGTGGTGATGGTGTTGGTGGTGGTGATGGTCGTGGTGATGGTGATGGTGGTGGTGGTGATGATGGTGGTGATGGTGGTGGTGATGATGGTCGTGGTGGTGGTGATGGTGGTGGTGGTGGTGGTGATGGTGGTGGTGATGGTGGTGGTGGTGGTGATGGTGGTGGTGATGGTGGTGGTGGTGTTACCCGCTGGTTCTGTCAGCTCGAAGGCGGCACAGCAGCAGAGTGTGTGGACTAATCTCCATCTGTTTCATCTCACTTCCTTCTACCAGCGTGTGCGGACTAATCTCCATCTGTTCCATCTCACTCGCTTCTACCAGCGTGTGCGGACTAATCTCCATCTGTTCCATCTCACTCCCTTCTACCCGTGTGTGGACTAATCTCCATCTGTTCCATCTCACTCCCTTCTACCAGCGTGTGCGGACTAATCTCCATCTGTTCCATCTCACCCCCTTCTACCCGTGTGAGGACTAATCTCCATCTGTTCCATCTCACCCCCTTCTACCCGTGTGTGGACTAATCTCCATCTGTTCCATCTCACCCCCTTCTACCCGTGTGAGGACTAATCTCCATCTGTTCCATCTCACCCCCTTCTACCCGTGTGAGGACTAATCTCCATCTGTTCCATCTCACTCCCTTCTACCAGTGTGTGCGGACTAATCTCCATCTGTTCCATCTTTCCACCTTCTACCCGTGTGCGGACTAATCTCTATCACGACTCCTTCAAGTGATCGGCCATTTGCGGTCCATCTGTGGCCAAGCGCTGTCTGCGCGCGGGCGCGGCGACCCACGACTGCTTCTGAGCCGTGTCCCCCCCTGCCCCCCACCCCCCCCCCCCGGTTTTGCTTTGCCCACAGGCTGAACTACCATACGGGCGGCATCGCCCACGAGTGCAAGTGTTGCCAGGAGACGGTGACAGAGCAGCGGTCCGTTCCGCTGCGGTGCACCAACGGCACCGTCCTGGAGTACTCCTACAAGTACATCCGCGAGTGCAACTGCGAGTTCTGCCAATGAACGCCGGCCCGCAACGACAACAACGACGACGACAACGACGACGACACCCCCACACCGCCCCCGCCCCCCACTCACCCCTCCGTTCCTCCTTACCGCCCCCCCGCCCGCCCGCCACCTTCCTTCGCCACGCCGCGGTGACCCCCGTGATATACACCGAAACCCGCCGCGTCCACCCCCTAAGTGGGCCAACAAACCGAGAGATGCCGGAAACGACGACCGACCGGCGACTTCTCCGCGGTGTGCTTGCCGCTTGCCTTTGCCGATTTGCTTGACGACGGCACGCCGATTGCCGCATCCCCAACCGTGACGTTTTTGCCCAGTGCTGCGCCACACACGCTAACGCGCGTGCAAACACACGCGAACACGCGCACACATGCAACAACAACAACAACAGCCGCCATTCGCCACTGAGTGGCGGTGACGTCACTACGGCGCTTGTGCCAGGTTATGTGCACTTTAAGGCGACACTCACGCGCGCGCACGCAACACTCGCGCCCACCGGTAGAAGAGGCGACGCTTACAATCTGGAGCGCGTCGGTTCCGCCGCAGCGTTTCCCGCCAGGCCATGCGCGGCCGGCAACAATGTCCCGACGTTTCGGCGACCGGGCGAGCGGGGTATGAGTGGAAAACGAAGTGTTGCTGTCGTATCATTCGGAACGTAAGAGAAAATTAAGCAAAAAGATCGCTTTCTTGGTTGGTTCCGTCGATGTGCGTGGACTTGGGCACTTTTACGCTTTGTGGCGCCTCTTTATGGTTTCCTCTCGCACACATCCGCCGGTTTCTCTCATTCGGGGGGGGGCCCGGACTGTACATTTGCCGTGGGGGGGGGGGGGGGATAAGAATATATCGGGAACTCCGAATAAAAGTCTACGTTTCACCGCTTGCGGAGAAGACTTGAGTCCCCTCGATCGCCGCGTCCGTGCGTCGGAGATGTCAACTTACCGCGCCTGGTACGCAGGGAGGTCGCGCTGGGTATCGTTGCCAACTCGCACGAAGCCTGAGTTTGCGTGTTTCTCTCTGTATCTCTCATCGTGGTCACGTGGATTTTTCTCTGTGGGATCCTCCATTTGTTTTTTGTCCCCCCCCCCCCCCATCCGCATTTAGAATCGACGCAAAGCCTTTAGAGTTATTTGGCTGCCGCTATAAATGTCCAGGAGGTGATGATGGTGGTGGTGGTGATGATGGTGGTGGTGGTGATGATGGTGGTGGTGGTGGTGATGATGGTGGTGGTGGTGATGATGGTGGTGATGATGGTGGTGGTAATGATGGTGGTGGTGGTGGTGATGATGATGGTGGTGGTGGTGATGATGGTGGTGGTGGTGATGATGGTGGTGGTGGTGGTGATGGTGGTGGTGGTGATGATGGTGGTGGTGGTGATGGTGGTGGTGGTGATGATGATGGTGGTGGTGATGATGGTGGTGGTGGTGATGATGGTGGTGGTTGGTGGTGGTGGTGGTGGTGGTTGGTGGTGGTGGTGGTGATAAGCCACTTCGTTGAGCTATTACGTGTGATGCCCAGGTCACTTCTGTAAAAATATCTCTATAGCTCAGTGGACCTTACGTGCTAAAATAAAATAAATAGCTTTCAAACTAGATTCGAAGCTTTCGTGACTGCAGGAATTATACTATTTGGTTCTTTCGGGAAAGTCACGTAGAAAGAAAGCAAATTAAATAATGATGTATAATAATGTATTTAATTTGATTTCTTTCTACGTGACTTTACCGAAAGAACCAAAGAGTAAAAAATAGCTTCGTTTATATTTTTTTATTGTAGAATACGCAACACAGACACACAAACACAACATTGGATATACATGTATATAACTCATCTTCTTGGTTCTTTCGGTAAAGTCACGTAGAAGGGAAGTAATAAAATAATAAAAATAAAACATTATAAAATACAATTCTCACGACGTTTCGGCCACAACTATTATTATTCTCCTAGCTAAAGCCCACTACTGAGCTGCATAGCTCTTTTTTCAGAACCAGAATCATTATTTATGCTGGAGGATTCCTATGAGCCCTGAAGCTCTTTGACACAGATGTCCACGAAGCAAGCTGGCCGCAAACGATATCTCAACGACGTGGCTTCTCAGATAGAAATGTACAGCAGCCAAAATACTCTGAATGCACGTTGGTTCTCAATGTGGAGCGAAAAACCGGAGAGCCCGGAGACAAATCCACGCAATCACGGGGAGAGAGACACTCAAACTCCAAACCATACAATACGCATCAAGTCGGGATCGAACCCACGACCGCCTGCATGCCAGGAGAGGCAATTACATCTGCTAGCCACCGCGGCATCCACAACCGAACTGCACACGCCTGTCCACGCTGTCAATCACCGCCGCACCGCCTGACTATGAATAGAAGCCCAATTGAAGACTTCACCCCAAACCTGACCTTTACGCACCCAGCCACGAACGACATCCATGACCACGGGGGATATAATATAATAGCAGCAGCGGCAGTGACGGGAGCGTCATCATCGTCATCAGCGGGGCAGGACTTTAGGGCAGTTACCTCATTTCAGAGGGACCTTTGAGACCAATTGAAGTTGCGGAGCGACGGATCGCCTCGTCATTGAAGTGACTTTACGGTGGCGTAATTGCGTCAATTGATGGGAGACAAATTCTGATTAATACGTAATTTGTTCGCGTGTATTAATGGGCACGCGCTCATCAAATACCACGCTGTATACGGCGTGTTGCGGACAATGCTGTGGCGGGTCTGGCACGTTTGTTGTTCACTGACACCAGTAAAGCTGATGGGTCACGAAACTGAAACTATAAGCAAGTTAGTTATTTAACCAGAAGCGACCTGGCCACAAAATGGGAGCTCAACGAAGTGGCTTATCGTCATCATCATGATCACGTGGGAATTAATCGATTCTAAACGTGGAGAGAAAAAACGATTCTAAACGTGGAGAGAAAAACCGGAAGACCTGGAGAAAAATCCACGCGACCACAGAGACGAGAGACACCACAAACTCCAAATATACAACAGCAGGCGTCACAGTCGGGATCGAACCCACGACCTCCTGTACACCAGGCGAGGTAGTTAACATCTCGCCCACCGTGATGATGATGATGATGAGAGAGAGAGACGCAGACTACAAATATGCAGCAGCAGGCGTCGTCAGAGTCGGGATCGAACCCACGACCTCCTGCACACCAGGCGAGGTAGTTAACATCTCGCCCACCGTGATGATGATGATGATGATGAGAGAGAGAGAGAGACGCAGACTACAAATATACAGCAGCAGGCGTCGTCAGAGTCGGGATCGAACCCACGACCTCCTGCACACCAGGCGAGGTAGTTAACATTTCCTAGCCGCCGTGATGATGATGAGAGAGAGAGAGACGCAGACTCCAAATATACAGCAGCAGGCGTCAGGGTCGGGATCCCTTGGTTCTTTCGGTAAAGTCACGTAGAAGGGAAGTAATAAAATAATAAAAATAAAACATAATAAAATAATTCTCACGACGTTTCGGCCACAACGCAAGCAGCCGTCCTCAGGTGAAGACCAGGTCTGTCGGGGAGACATCTCCTAGCCACTGTGATGATGATGATGATAGAGAAAGAGAGACGTGACTTTACCGAAAGAACCAAAGGGTATGAATTCCTGCAGTCACGAAAGCTTCACATCAAGATTAAAGACTGGCCAGGTTTGTTGTGAACTTTAGAAAAACTTCCCAACAGCGTTATCTATCTCTCTCTCTCTCCCAGATGGTGACCAGAGAGTATTTCCCACCCCCATCACAGCCCCGGACCTTCAAACGGCGAGCGAAAATGCCCATTTCATTTGAAGACCTTACAATTGAGCACCCCGCTAGCCCCGAGGCATGGTCCAGGTGACCTTTCGTTTGCCCCAAAACGACCCCCTTTGCGAGGTTGTCCGTGCTTAGCAAACGTTTGAACCCCACGCCCCTTGTGACATAAGTGCCCGTCGATAAATGGCACCGGATTGAGGGCTCCACGTTCACTCTGAGCGCGTTCGATCTCTGTCACGTCCGACAAGTCCCAGCGTCCTCGTCGAGTCTGCAACGCCGATGAGCACGGTGCGAGAGAAGTTCAACGTACGTGCGTTTACACTACATTGTACACTACACTATAGACTACACTATACACTACATTATACTATACACTACACAATACACTACACTGTACACTACACTCTACACTATACAATACACTACACTATACACTGCTATACACTACACTATACACTACAATATACACTACACTATACACTACACTATACACTACACTATACACTACACTATACACTGAACTATACACTACTCTCTACACTACACTCACTCATACACTCATCCATTATCTCACTCACTCAACCATCTACTCACTCACCCATCCAATCACTCACCCATTCGCCCATCCACTCACCCACTCACTCACTCACCCATCCAATACTCACCCACTCGCCCATCTACTCAGCCATTCTCTCGCCCAATCTGTCACTTGCACACCTATTCTCTCACTCAACTAATCACTCATCTACTCACCCATCAACGCACTCAACCATCTACTCACTCACCCATCTAATCACTCACCCACTCGCCCATCCACTCAGCCATGCTCTCGCTCACTCGCACACTTGCACGCTCACCCACTCACCCACTCACCCACTCAGTCACCCATCCATTCACTCACCCAGCCACTCACCAACTCGCCCATCTACTCACCCACTCACTCACCCATTCAATACTCACCCACTCGCCCATCCACTCAGCCATTTTCTTGCCCAATCTGTCACTTGCACACCTATTTTCTCACTCACCTAATCACTCATCTACTCACCCATCAACGCACTCAACCATATACTCACTCACTCACCCATCCAATCACTCACCCACTCGCCCATCCACTCAGCCATGCTCTCGCTCACTCGCACACTTGCACGCTCACCCACTCACCCACTCACCCACTCAGTCACCCATCCATTCACTCACCCAGCCACTCACCAACTCGCCCATCTACTCACCCACTCACTCGCCCATTCAATACTCACCCACTCGCCCATCCACTCAGCCATTTTCTTGCCCAATCTGTCACTTGCTCACCTATTTTCTCACTCACCTAATCACTCATCTACTCATCCATCAACGCACTCAACCATCTACTCACTCACTCACCCATCTAATCACTCACCCACTCGCCCATCCACTCAGCCATGCTCTCGCTCACTCGCACACTTGCACGCTCACCCACTCACCCACTCACCCACTCAGTCACCCATCCATTCACTCACCCAGCCACTCACCAACTCGCCCATCTACTCACCCACTCACTCACCCATTCAATACTCACCCACTCGCCCATCCACTCAGCCATTTTCTTGCCCAATCTGTCACTTGCACACCTATTTTCTCACTCACCTAATCACTCATCTACTCACCCATCAACGCACTCAACCATATACTCACTCACTCACCCATCCAATCACTCACCCACTCGCCCATCCACTCAGCCATGCTCTCGCTCACTCGCACACTTGCACGCTCACCCACTCACCCACTCAGTCACCCATCCACTCACTCACCCAGCCACTCACCAACTCGCCCATCTACTCAGCCACTCACTCGCCCATTCAATACTCACCCACTCGCCCATCCACTCAGCCATTCTCTCGCCCAATCTGTCACTTGCACACCTATTCTCTCACTCACCTAATCACTCACCTACTCGCCCATCCACTCAGCCGTTCTCTTGCTCACCTATTCACTCACTCACACATCCACTCACTCAAACACCCATCCACTCACCCACTCACTCACTCACCCACCCGTCCAATCGCTCACCCACTCGCCCATCTACTCAGCCATTCACTCGCTCACCCTCTCACTCGCACTCTCACCCACTTACTCACCATTTACTCACCAATCCACTCACCCAATCACCCATCCACTCACCCATCTACTCACTCACTCACCCATCCAATCACTCACCCACTCGCCTATCCACTCAGCCATTATCTCGCTCACGCGCACATTCACCATTCATTCACCCATCCACTCACTCGCCCATCCACTCACCCACTCACTCACCCATCCACTCACTCACTCATCCACTCAACCACTCGCCCATCCAATCGCTCACCCACTCGCCCATCCACTCAGCCATTCTCTCGCTCACCCGCACACTCACCCACTCACTCACCCATCCACTCACTCACCCATCCACTCACTCACCAATCCACTCACCCATCCACTCACCCAATCACCCATCCACTCACCCATCTACTCACTCACTCACTCACCCATTCAATCACTCACCCACTTGCCCATCCACTCAGCCATTCTCTCGCTCACCCACACCCTCACTCACACACTCACCTACTCTCTCACTAACCCATCTCAGTCATCCATCCCACTCACCCACACACTCAATCACCCAGTCACTCACACTCACCCACTCTCGCCCACTCACCCGTTCTCTTATTCACTCGCTCGCACAAAGATCCCCCAGATACTCTTTAACAAACTACTACAAGGTCTTCTTTGGTTATTTCGGTAAGGTCACGTAGGTAGAAAAAATAACAATAGATCACGACGTTTCGATCGCAACACAAGCAATCGTCATCAGGTGAGACGTGTCTAACACGCCCCCCTCAGTGAGGACACGCCCCCTACGTGAAGCCACGCCCCCCCACCTCAGTGTGTGAATCTGGCTCTGACACTAACTAGCCAATGCCCCCCTAGCCATTGACCTCACCACACGTCACTGTCAGAATGAACGTCGCACATTTCGAGTTATGTGTCTGCCGCTGTTTACGCGATCCAACCCAAACCCACTCCACCCCCCCTCCCTATATTAGGGGCAGTCCATCAGGCACGCGCTTATTGCCCGCGCTCCATCCAGTTACTGAGGGGTTGCGCAATCAGAGGGGAGGCAGAGCTCGTCGCTGCCTCACCTCTCGTCTCTCCCTGCATTTGCAGCGGAGCTCCGCAAATTTGGCGATTTTGACAATAAGAATTATTGGTATCGTACAGGAATGAGATTTATAACACAGATCAGTGGAAAAAGTCTTGTTATTTATTTAGTTTGATTGTTTATTTTAGTAACAGCTTTTTTCATTGGAGTATGACAGGTCAGGTGTAGAGGAGTAAACTGGGGACGTGACGTCAGGTGTGCCGTTCAGTGCGATGACGTCACATCTCCTAGGGTACTTAAGGGATACCCCGTGACGTAAGCGGGGGTCACTGCGGGAACGGGTAGAGTAAGCAGGGTGAAGAGGGAACCAGTGGGTAGAGAGAGGGATCGAGTGGTGAGTCTGGGGAGAAGCCGGTGGTAGTAGCCGTAGAGGTGCTTCTCTCTCCGCTCGGTGGAGTCGGCAGACTCCAGGATCCGACACGAGAGAGAGAGAGACCGGAGCTAGCCGGCAGGGACCCGGACTCAGAGTAGGACCCCCGCTAGCCCCTGGGAGTTGTGCACCCTGCTGTGTAATATTGTAACAGCTTTAATAAACCCTGGCGAAAGCCCTTAACTTACCTCCGTCTACGAGTACGTCCGACGGAACTTCTCTACACAGGTGAGGCTCTGCCTCCCCTGCCTCCCCTGACCGCACGTCCCTGCATTCTAAATGTCCAGGTGCTCGGTGGGGCGGTGTCGAGAAAGACGCCGAGAAAAATGCACGTGGCCGTGGCTGCTGTTCGCCTGCCCCTGAACCTCCTCCCCCCCCCCCCCCCCACCGCTAAACGCCCTTTTCGAACAACGTTTCGCGCTCTGTGCCATCTGCAGGGCCACCGTGCACAGAGGAAGTCACCCGGGCAGTCTCTGCGGGCCCACCGAGGATACCTCGCCACCCCAACAGGGTTCCGAGGGGACCATGAGGTCACCCGTGAGGCAGGCGCCTCTGACCTCCTGTGAGTCCGGCAGCGCGGTCGTTGTGGTCGTGTCTGTGTGTGTGTGTGTGTCTGTGTGTGTGTGTCTGTGTGTGTGTCTGTGTGTGTATGGCTATGTCTGTGTGTGTGTCTGTGTGTGTCTGTGTGTGTGTGTCTGTGTGTGTGTCTGTGTGTGTGTGTCTGTGTGTGTATGTGTGTCTGTGTGTGTATGGCTGTGTCTGTGCGTGTGTGTGTCTGTGTGTGTGTCTGTATGTGTGATTGTCTGTGTGTGGCTGTGTCTGTGTGTGTGTGTGTCTGTGTGTGGGGGGCGGTAGTGTAGCGGTTAACGCGCTGCGCTATAAACCCGGCGACCCGAGTTCGATTCCCGCTCGCGGCCAACACCAAGTGGCGATTATCTGAACCGGTCTTGGGCCTCACCTAGGTCAACTCAGCCTCAAATGAGTACCTGGTGAAGCGGTGTGTAAACATCGTCACTGGGGAGACAAAGGCGGTCGGGCGTGGTGCTGGCCACCCACCCCCTCGTGTGCCGTTCCGGCCTTCATAGGTGCTCACTATCAGCACTTGCCCCTACACTCTGTTAAGGCTATATGGGGGATCTTTGTCTGTGTGTGCTCAAGTTTACGTATTCTCCTGATGACGATCGCTTGTGCTATGATCGAAACGTCGTAGTTTTTATTTTATTCACTTTTATTTTTTTAGATCTACGTGACTTTACCGAAAGAACCAAAGGATGTGAATTCCTGCAGTCACGAAAGTTTTCCGTCAAAATTTACGTATTCTGTTTGGTGTTTGAGCATCTTAACACAACTGCTGTTTCTTTTTTCGATTTAAAGCTTTTCTTGTTTATTGACAGAAAGGGTTAACGTCTATTCTGATTTCATTTTCATTCTTTCATGCTGGCAAAAAAATGTGGCCCACTTCGTAGCTGCTCACCCCGAACTATGAATGCCCTGACGGTGCATTGCCCTTGTGCTGTTCGCCTTTTGGCGTCGTTCTCTGGTCTGACACTGCTAGTGGGACTAGGCCAATCAGATTCATAGACAACGCAAAGTAACATTATTGTCAGAGCCGCGTTTGTGTTTGCATGTTCCTTGAAAAAGCTTTCATCTTGATTTGGAGCTTTCGTGACTGCAGGAAATACTCTTTGGTTCGTTCGGTAAAGTCACGTAGAAGAAGAAAAAAATAAGTTAAATAATAGCATACGCCGTTTCGATTACAACACAAGCAATCGAAACGTCGTATGCTATTATTGAATGTATTATTTTATTTTTCTACGTGACTTTATTGAAAGAAACTAAAAAATTAGCTTTCATCTATTTGCTGTTTGAACGTCTTAACACAACTCTTGATTTCGATTTAAAGCTTTCGTGACTGCAGGGATTCATATTCTTGGTTCTTTTGGTAAAGGCACCACGTAGAAAGGAAATAATAAAAGAATAAAACATTTATAATAATAAAAAACAGTAAAATTATTATTTTATTATTTCCCTTCTACGTGACTTTACCAAATAGCCAAGAATATGAATCGCTGCAGTCACGAAAGCTTTCAATCGAAATTTAAACGCCACGTAACATTATTATCAGAGCCACGTTTGTGTTTGCATGTTCACCGCTTGTACCACGTGTGTGTGGCTACTGTGGTAACTTGGTTATTCCTTGAGAAAGGTTTCTGTTTGGCGGTTGAACATCTAAACGCAGCTCCTGCTGTTTTATTGCGGGAAAGGTTACAGCCAATCCTAATACATGGCTACCGCTCAGAAAAAGGTCCCATGATGCGGCTTTTAAAAGTTTGCGCGTTTATGAGAAGTACTTACTCGGACGCCGTGCCAGCGGCGATCTGAGTTAGCGTGGCACTCCGCTCACTTTACGACCTCGCCTTTCAGATTTGGCCGCGCTTCTGGCGATCTGCACCCTTCCGCCAGCGCAAGCCTCAGGTATTGTGCACGCACACGTTTGCACACCGAACCAACGCCGCGTATCCGCCGCCCCGTGCCGCATGAGCCTTGGTGTAGACTATAGTAGTGTAGTGTATAGCAGTGTAGTGTATAGTGTAGTGTAGTGCCTTCACTTACCGACCATTTCCCTGTTAACGACACGCTGTTTTAGTTAGAGTAAAAATTAGTTAATGCATCGATTAGCCGTGATTCTCTTAATATTATGCATCCATAACGTTGTTAGTATCTTTACGTATTAATATCCATTGTTTAAAATATTACGAAGTACGGTGAAAGGGCGCTAACTTTCGATGCCTTTTAACGTGCGTTTCCTACACTCGCAGACTTCAAGAAGATCTGCTACTTCGCCAGCTGGGCGGAGGAACGCCTCGGCGCGGGCAGTTTCGGCGCGGGCAACGTGGACCCGTTCGCGTGCTCCCACGTCCTGTTCGCGTTCGGCGTGATGGACGATGCGTTCTCCGTCCAGCCGGCACGAGGCGACGACCCCACCGCATACCGGCTGCTCACGGCACTCAAGGAGAGGTGAGTGGATGCCGAGTTTTTTGTTGTTGTGCCAATTTATGCTGGGGGGCCTGCACCCGCGTCCGCCTGCGTCCGTCCATCCAGCCGCCAAAACTTTTTTCATAATGTAGCAGTCACATGGTCCTTAAGACGTGACTGTCTGATCGTCCGTCCATCTAGCAAAATTTCCCCCCCCCCCCCCCCCCCGAACATAGCAGGTCACGTGGTTCTTTAGACATGACCGTCTGATCCTCCGTCCATCTAGCAAAACTCCCCCCCCCCCCCGAACATAGCAGGTCACGTGGTTCTTTAGACGTGACCGTCTGATCGTCCGTCTATCTAGCAAAACTCCCCCCCCCCCCCCCGAACATAGCAGGTCACGTGGTTCTTTAGACGTGTCCGTCTGATCGTCCGTCCATCTAGCAAACCCCCCCCCCCCCCGAACATAGCAGGTCACGTGGTTCTTTAGACGTGACCGTCTGATCGTCTGTCTATCTAGCAAACCCCCCCCCCCCCCGAACATAGCAGGTCACGTGGTTCTTTAGACGTGACCGTCTGATCGTCCGTCCATCTAGCAAAACTCCCCCCCTCCCCCCCGAACATAGCAGGTCACGTGGTTCTTTAGACGTGACCGTCTGATCGTCCGTCCATCTAGCAAAACTCCCCCCCCCCCCCCGAACATAGCAGGTCACGTGGTTCTTTAGACGTGTCCGTCTGATCGTCCGTCTATCTAGCAAACCCCCCCCCCCCCCCCCGAACATAGCAGGTCACGTGGTTCTTTAGACGTGACCGTCTGATCGTCCGTCCATCTAGCAAAACTCCCCCCCCCCCCGAACATAGCAGGTCACGTGGTTCTTTAGACGTGACCGTCTGATCATCCGTCTATCTAGCAAAACTCCCCCCCCCCGAACATAGCAGGTCACGTGGTTCTTTAGACGTGACCGTCCGACCGTCCATCAGCCGCCACGACATTCTTGGAGATGCAGGATTATCACCTCCGATCGGCACGGTGGGCTACGCACGGCGCGAAAGAAAGTTCAACATCCATACGTACATACGCAACATGCATCCGTTCCTCCGTCGAGCCAGCCAGCCAGCCAGCCAAACCATTTCCAAACGTAGTCGACCGACCCTCCATTCAGATGTCACCATCCGCCCTTACTTACCGTCCTCCGGATCGGTCAGCCGGCAAAACTTTGTACGAATGTCACACGACGGCACGATGTGACGCCCACGCCCCCCCACCGCACGTTCGTGCGACTGGCCGGAGCGCGAGGTGACGTCGGCGCGACGCACAAAACCGTTGGGTGCGGCTGACATCATCACGCCGTATGTGCGTACGTACCTTGAACTCCTTTGGCGCCATACGTAGCCGACCGTGCTCATCGGAAGTGCAGGGGAAAGGCAATGACCTAAGCACAAAAAGCAGTTCGGTAGAAACGAGTTTTTAAATCTAGATCATGATGATTTACGGATTGCGTAACTCACGGAGGCTTCATAATACCGTAAGGAAAGAGCGTTCCAGACGGCCGCAGAAGCGCGTCCGAAAGCGCCGCGCAACGATGATGCGGTGACCGCCGCCGTTGTTCGACGGTCAGCCGAAAAGCCTCCACGAGGACAACCCGGATTCCGTGTGATGACGACGATGACGGTGATGGCGGTGACCTGCAGCTCCCCGACGAGATCGGCGAGGCATCCGCGGTTCATTCGCAAGATGAGCACCCCTTTGCGTGTCCGTAACGAGCGCGACCTCGCGATGGCGCGTGCTCGCTCGGCAACCCGCAAGCCAACGCAGCCCCGGCGGTCGGGGAGTCTCAGAGGTCGCAACCGGGTACCCGATACCCGTACCCTACCCGATACCCGTTTGTGACCCTGGTGCGGCCGGGTACGGGTAAGGAATCAAAATCCGTTTGCGACCTCTGGCTTATGCACCAAACAGCAGTTAAAAATATTCAGCCTTCTTGGAGACGGTTGGTGCAGAGCTCGACAGTGCCGCCTACCGACTCCATAGTTCTATGGGTCTTTCGGTAAAGCCACGTAGATAGAAAACCCTGGTACGGCTGGGTACGGGTACGGGTAGGCCGTGAGTCACTGGTGAGTAACCGTTTGTCACTCATTTCGGGTAGGGTATGGGTACGGGTAAGGAACGGCTACCCGTACCCGGCCAGGTACAGGTACCCGTTTGCGACCCTGGTGCGGCCGGGTACGGGTAAGGAATCAAAACCCGTTTGCGACCTCTGGGGAGTCTCCACCAACCACCCCGGGCCCGTGGCCACTCCCACGAGCTCGCAACCGAGCGCCGGCGAGCCGCGCGACGTTCGAACCGCTCGTGCCGCAGATTACAGCGCGTGCGGTTCACGAGCGACGCGATTGAACTGACAACGTATCTCGTTGTTGTGGAGGGAGGCACCGTGGAATTGCCACCCAAACTGGTCGCTCTCTCGCGCTTCGCAGGAACCCGGAGCTTCAGGTGTTGCTGTCGGTTGGCGGCTACGTGTTCGGGGTGGAGAGGTGAGTCCAAGGAGGCCGCCAGTACACTGCTCTCTCACTATGCCTCTATCTCAATATGTGTCGTTAACTTATTCATGTTCGCACGTGTCTTCAACTACTTCACGTACGCACGTGTCTTGAACTTCTTCACGTACGCACGTGTCTTGGACTTTTTCATGTACCCACCTGTCTTGAACTTATGCATCTCTGCGTCCCTGCACCCCTGCATCCCTGCACCCCTACATCCCTGCGTCTCACCGCGCCATCGCCCCCGCCCCAGGTTCTCGGCGATGGCATCGAGGAGGGAACACAGGAAAGCGTTCATCGCGTCCGCTGTCGACTTCCTGCGCACGTACGGCTTCGACGGCCTCGACCTCGACTGGGAGTACCCGGCGCAGAGGGGCAGCCCCGCAGTGGACAAGCAGCGCTTCACGTCCCTGCTCAAGGTGTGGCCCCCCTCCACCGCTGCGTTCCAGCCAGGGACGACCCACACGGCGTTCACTCGGCTCTCCGCTCATTGGGCTTCCGAGCCGCATTGGCCGAGTGTGACCGTGGTCGCGTGAACAACCGTCGAATGACTGTCCTCGAAAACAACCGTTGACTGACGGTTGTCGCGTGAACGACCGTGGAACAACCGTGGTCATGAGAACAACCGTGTAACAATCATGGTAGCCTGAACAACCGTCAAACGACCGTCATCTCGTGAACAACCGTTGAATGACGGTTGTGGCTTCAACACCTAATGGACACGGGCCTGTCACAGTCCACATGAACCACACGCACCATAACTTGCGCTATGAGCGGTTTGAATATTCTTCTTGGTTCTTTCGGTAAAGTCACGTAGAATGGAAATAATGAAACATTATAAATTATTATGTTTCCATTCTACGTGACTTTACCGAAAGAACCAAGAAGATGAATCCCTGCAGTCACGAAAGCTTTAAATCGAGGTTTGAATATTGTAACGTCTGTCCTGTGCCCAGCGCATTCAAGTGCGCGCGTTTACGCGCGACGCAACCGAACTCGTGAAAGTGGCGAAGGCAGGGTGGGTTGGAGACTCCACGGCCACTGAGATGCATTGGCTTCCGTTGGCCGAACGGATACGTCATTCCGAGGTCGCGCTCATTACGAACACGCAAAGTGCTCGCCACGAATGAGCCGCGATACCTCACTGAAGGTGTGCCCCCCCTCCACCGCTGCGTTCCAGCAAGGGACGACCCGCACGGCGTTCACTCGGGGTTCCGCTCATTGGGCTCAAAATGCACGGCTAACTTCCGTGCATTTTGAGCATGCTGCTTTTCCACTCCCCTCTGACCTACGCCCTACCCCCACACACTCTATCCTTGGCTCCTCCCCCCTCCCTCATCTATAGAATCCCTTGTTACAAGCGGCTCTTTTGCCTACTTCAGCGATTGTTTCTTGCTGTGGTCGTCCACCACCTGATGATGGACGCTTGTGTTGCGCCCGAAACGTCGTGATTGAATTTACTTTTATTTATTTTTACTTTTTTATTTTTCACCTACGTGACTTTAGCGAAAGAACCAAAGAGTATTTACCCTTGCTGGCAATAACACAGGAGTTGTGTTAAGATGTTCAAACACCAAACAGAAACCTTTTGCTAGGAATCATGTCTGCATTAACCACACGTACTTGTGGTGAACATGCAACCAACAGACAATGCATCATATATGACCAGAGCATGCTCTTTGTTTGCATGTTCATCACAAGTACTGTGTGTGGAAAATGTAGTAACATGATTCATTGCAAAAGGTTTATATTTGGTGTTTGAACATTTCAACGCAGCTGCTGTTTTATTTCCAGAAAGGATAAAAGCCTATTCTTGTGTTTTTTATCCTTTAATACTGACAAAAATTTCCCATTTAGTAGCTGCTCACCCCGAGCTATAAATGCTCCGATGGTACATTGTCCTTGTACTGTTCGCCTTTTGACACTGGGAGTGAGACGAGGCCCTAAAGACGGCTGCTGTCTCTGGTGTAGACCAATCAGTTTGAGAGGCAATGCTTGTAACATTATTATCAGAGCGTGTTTGTTTGCATGCTCACCACACGACCTGCGTGTGTGTGGTTAGTGAAGTAATTTGAATCCTTACAAGAGGTTTATGTTTGGTGTTTGAACATCTTTACCAGAAATCGTAGAAAAAATATTTTGATACTGGAAAGAAAGGTCCCATGATCGGGTCATCCTCGTTTCTTTAGAACTGCTTCTTGTGTTTAGTTTTGTTGTCTTCCGCGGCAGCTACAATTAGCACGGTTGGCTACGTATGGTGCGAATGAGTTTGTCAGTCTGGACGACAATGATTTAAAAGTGCGTTCTAAACGGCCGCAGAAGGGCTCGTCCGAAAGTGCACGCGATGCGGTGATGGCCAACCACCCGCCTACTCGTCCACTAACCCCACCCATATATGTATGTTGAACATCTTTGGCACCATATGTAGCAAATCGTGAAAATCGGAGGTGGCGGGAGGAAGGATTGCAAACTCAACGCAACGACGACGACAAGCGTCCGAAAGTGCCGCACAATGCGGTGACCGCCATCTTTATTGAACGATGATCCAAAATTTCGATTTAAAGCTTTCGTGACTGCAGGGATTCATCTTCTTGGTTCTTTCGGTAAAGTCACGTAGAAGGGAAGCAATAAAATAATAAAAATGAAACATAATTTTTTATAATTTTATTACTTCCCTTCTACGTGACTTTACCCAAAGATTAATCTTCTTGGTTCTTTCGGTAAAGTCACGTAGAAGGGAAGTAGTAAAATAATAAAAATAAAACATAATTTTGTATTATTTTATTACTTCCCTTCTACGTGACTTTACCGAAAGAACCAAGAAGATGATCCAAAAACCGCTACTGCTGCTGCGAGGGTGATGACCAAAATGGGCGTGACGATGATTGTTCACGTGACGATGGTCGCTCACGTGACGTTGGTCGATCGCGTGGTGGCGATGACGGTTCACTCTCCTTGTGTACGAGACTCACCCCGAAGGCCGATTGTCCATCCCCGCCGCAGGAGCTGCGGACTGCCTTCGACGACGAGGAGGCGCTGGCCCAGGGTAGGCCGCGGCTGCTCCTCGCCGTGGCCGTGTCGCCCATCGCGAGCATAGTCGACGGCAGCTACGAGGTGGAGAAGATTCACCAGTAAGGCGCCTTCATTGGAGGGCAGGGAGGGGGTCCAACACCAAGTGTGGCGACGGCAGGAAACTCTTTTTTGCCCTTGTAGCTTTTTCCAAGATTATGTCCTCTCGTTTTGATACATTTTACGATACAAGTGTCTTGATTTTATCGGCAGGGCTGCCTTAATTGAATCTATGTACTGTAAAGTAATGCGATGCCCTCTTTAGTGGGGGCGAATTCTTGCAAAACTATTTAATTTAATGAATTACTTATTGGTTCTTTCGGTAAAGTCACTTAGAAAAAAAAAATTAAACAATAGTATTCTCTTATTTCATTTATGTTCTTTCTACGTGACTTCACCGAAAGAACCAAAGAGTAATTCTTGCAGTCACGAAAGCTTCAAATAAAGTTTAATGAATTGATTAAATAGATGAGCCTCTTTCGGCCAGCCAAGGTTATGATGTTAAATACACAATACGAAGGGGTGCAGCGGTGGCTAGGAGATGTTAACTCCTTCACCTGGTATACATGAGGCCGTGGGTTCGATACTGACCCTGACACCTGCTGTATATTTTAAGTTTGCACCTTTCTCATCATCACCACGGTGGCTAGGAGATGTTAACTACCTCTCTCGGTATACAGGAGGCTGTGGGTTCGATCAAAATTGTTAAAACTTGATTTGAAGCTTTCGTGACTGCAGGAATTACTCTTTGGTTATTTCGGTAAAGTCACGTAGAAAGAAAATAAATTAAATAATAGCATACGACGTTTCGATTGCAACACAAGCAACCGTCATCAGGTAGAAAACAAACCTAGAGAGCGTATAAACACAATGCAATACAACAGAGAGAGTCGGCTAACACAACAGTCAACACCCTACCTGGTTGATTACGTTCTTCCAAAGATTGCTACATTTGAGAGAGAGACAAAACACTGACACGGAGACAAACAGTTTACGAGATTTGTTTTCTACCCGATGACGGTTGCTTGTGTTGCAATCGAAACGTCGTATTCCATTATTTAATTTAATTTATTTCTACGTGACTATACCGAAAGAACCAAAGAGTAAAAAAATGGTTGTCTATTTGTTTGTGTTTCTCCCTTGTGATGGGACTTTGTCGGACGAACGTTGGCATGTATAAGGGACACGGGGTGACCAATGAGGCCGGAATTGGTCTGTAATAAGACAGGCACTGATAAGGGGTTGACCTGTATATTTCACCAAACACAAATGCAATATGCATTAAAAAAAACAAATGGTCAAATCACTAAATAAGCACGCTAAAATTATGTTATTTATCTTTAATACCGAGGGTTGAAGTCCATGATGATGACGGTGATGAAGTGGTTGTTCAGAAGGCTTTGCCTATCCACTACCTCCACCTGGTGGTGGGAAGACGGCGGTGGCAGAGCTGGGGGAGATGAGACGATGCACGGAGACACCGCAGATTGCGGGTGATCTGTGTAAGCTAGTGGGCATCTGTGAAGACTGCTGGCCATCTGTAAATACTACTGGACATCTGTGAAGACTACTGTTCATCTGTGAAGACTACTGTCCATCTGTGAACACTACTGGACATCTGTGTAAACTAGTGGTCATCTGTGAATACTAATGGACATCTGTGAACACTACTGTCCATATGTGAACACTGCTGGACATCTGTGTAAACTACTGGGCATCTGTGAAAACTGCTGGGTATCTGTGAAAACTGCTGGACATCTGTGAAAACTGCTGGACATCTGTGAAAACTACTGGCTGTCATCTGTGAAAACTACTGGACATATGTTCAAACGACTGGGCATCTGTGAACACTAATGGTCATCTGTGAAGACTACGGGTCATCTGTGAAGACTACTGGACATCTGTGAAGACTACTGGCCATCTATGAACAAGAGCTTCGTGGCCCATTGGATTCCTCGAGTCTAAATAAATATTCTGATTTGAAATCACAAGTGCCACTCACAATGATAAACCGCGGATACACAAAAATTGGTACGCCGAAGGGTATGCGAATAACGGGGATGCGGAACACGTGGTTGGCGAGGGGACGATGATGCTGACGACGGCGATGATCGTAAGAAAAACTGGGTCCTTGAGCGCCGTTGTCATTCCCCGTAGGTACCTGGATTTCATCAACGTCATGTGCTACGACATGCAGAACTGGAACGGACAAACCAGTCACCACAGCCCCCTCTTCTCCTCCTCCCTCTACCCGGAGCAGACCACGACGGTGAGATCGAGTGGCGCTGGCGCGGTCGGCGTGGACCCTGGGTGCTCCGATTTAAACGGGGGGGGGGGGGCTGCCGCCCTGTGAGAGAGCCGGGTGTGCAAGTAGATGGGTGGGTGAGTGGGTGGGTGGTGAGTGAGTCGTTGAGTGGTCGGGTGGGAGAGTTAGTGAGTGGGTGGGTGGGTGGTTGAGTGGGTGGGTGGGTGGCTGAGTGGGTGGGTGGGTGAGCGAGTCAGTGGGTGGTAGGGTGAGCAGGTGGTGGGGTGAGTAGGTGGGTGGGTGAATGGGTGGGTGGTCGAGTGAGTGAGTGGGTGGGGTGGATAGGTGAGTGAGTCGGTGTGTGAGTGGGTGGGTGAGGGAGTCAGTGGGTGGGTGAGTGGGTGATCAACTGAGCGAGTCAGTGGGTGGGTGAGTGGGTGGGTGGGTGAGCGAGTCAGTGGGTGGATGAGCAGGTGGTCGGGTGAGAAAGTCAGTGGGTGGATGGGTGGGTGAGTGGGTGGGTGGATGGGTGGGTGAGCGAGTCAGTGGGTGGGTGGATGAACAGGTGTTCATATGAGCAAGTCAGTGGGTGGGTAAGTGGGTGGTCGGGTAAGCGAATCAGTGGGTGGGTGACTCAGTGGGTGGGTGAGCGAGTCAGTGGGTGGGTGAGCGAGTGGGTGGATAACAAAATGGTTGCGTTGGAGGCAGTGGTGTAGCGTGGTTAGCGTAGGCTCTGGTGGAAATGTATTTATTTGGGAGTGGGGGAGGTGGGATGAGGTGGCTGTCCCGCCCTTATACAATTGTCAAATTCCTCTCCTTTCGGGGTTCGGAGTTGATTTTGGAACACGCGCTTAGATCACTTCGATTATTTGACTCCTATATATGATAAGCCAACTTTTGTTGCGCTATCATTTGTGATGGACAAGTCGCTTCTGAAAAAAAAATAAGCTCATAGCTCAGTGGGCTTTACCTGGTAAGAAAAAAATACGTAGTTCATAGTTTTGACTTAAAGCTTTCGTGAATGCAGTAATTAATATTCTTTGGGTCTTTCGGTAAAGATATCTTTGGCTATTTTTTTTAACCTATCTAAGTGACTGCACCGAAAGACCCAAAGAATATGTTCATAGTTGTATTTGTGTTTAAGTTTTACTCAGTGACTTATTTACCTTTTGCTATACTTCGCACTGCTGTCGTGTTTGTGTGTGTGCTGTTTGTTGTTGTAACGTCCTGGGGGATTTCCCCGTTGCTTGACATCTGTGATTTTAAAGAATAGCTTTGTATCTCGATTTCAAGCTTTCGTGACCGCAGGGATTCATCTTCTTGGTTCTTTCGGTAAAGTCACGTAGAAGGGAAATAATAAAATAATAATAAAATGTATTATGTTACATTTATTTTATTTTATTATTTCCATTCTACGTGACTTTACCGAAAGAACCAAGAACATGAGTTTTGTATCTATTTAGCTTCCTCCTCCAGCATGAATACAACATTCCGATTCGGACGATTTTATTTCAATAACTCGTGCCATCCTTTGGCACACTCGTCCCACCAACCCCCCCCCCTCCCCAACAGGAGTCAGCCGTGAAGCTGTGGCTGGACAGGGGCGTGCCCCCCTCCAAGCTCGTGGTGGGGGTGCCGGCCTACGGCACGACGTTCACTCTGAGCGGTGCCGGAACGGCGCTCGGAGCGCCGACCTCCGGACCCGGCGAGGCCGGCGCGTTCACGGGCACGGAGGGGACGCTCGCCTACTACGAGGTGGCCCCGCGCGCAGTGTTGAGTCTATGGTGCAGTGTTGAGTCTATGGGGCAGTGTTGAGTCTATGGGGCAGTGTTGAGTCTATGGGGCAGTGTTGAGTCTATGGGGCAGTGTTGAGTCTATGGGGCAGTGTTGAGTCTATGGTGCAGTGTTGAGTCTATGGGCAGTGTTGAGTCTATGGTGCAGTGTTGAGTCTATGGGCAGTGTTGAGTCTATGGGCAGTGTTGAGTCTATGGTGCAGTGTTGAGTCGATGGGGCAGTGTTGAATCTATGGGCAGTGTTGAGTCTATGGTGCAGTGTTGAGTCTATGGTGCAGTGTTGAGTCTATGGTGCAGTGTTGAGTCTATGGTGCAGTGTTGAGTCTATGGTTGCAGTGTTAAGTCTATGGTGCAGTGTTGAGTCTATGGTGCAGTGTTGAGTCGATGGGGCAGTGTTGAGTCTATGGGCAGTGTTGAGTCTATGGTGCAGTGTTGAGTCTATGGTGCAGTGTTGAGTCGGCTACTAGCTTTACTACCCGGCTTCACCCGGGACTTGGATTCTTGTCTTGGATTAATACACGGCCTACGCGGAAAGTTCGGGGGGGGGAGCATGACGTCAACAGGCACACTGCGTGACGCTGCCGCATGTGGGTGACATCACAGATATGACGTCACCGCTCACTTGCCGTGAAAAATATATCTATTATTGTGTCCCCCCCCCACCCCCGCAAAATACAAAAGTCTATTTTTAGTCTGTTTTGCATTGTGTAGAGTCTGGAAGCTACCCACATGACAAATTTCAAGTTTGTTGCATGTTGGGAAGTATGCTAAACATTTCGAACAGACACACATATTCACAAATTTCCCTTTTATACATATATATAGATAACCCTGTGAGCCATACGGCTCTTGACTCGGGTGCAACCGCAACAAACAAAAACATGAACAAGAAACATCGAAGAGGAGTGTAGGGCAACAAGGAAGGAGACGAGATATGCGATACGAATCGGCTCGTATGCAAAGGGGGGTGACCTACATCCGACAGCGAATAGTTCCCGCGTCGAAGACGACGACGACTAAAGATGCCGATCACGAAGAGTTAAGGCGCCATGACCCCGTCTTCTCCCCGGCTCTCGCGCGCCGCCCCCCAGGTGTGCCAGCGTCTGCGCCAGGACCAGTACAACGCGGAGTGGCTGGAGGAGCAGGCGGTGCCCTACGCTCACCTGGATGACCAGTGGCTGGGCTACGACGACACGCGCAGCTTCACCTACAAGGTGACGGAGCCGTCGCCCCGCGACCCGCGGTGTTTGTCCCACCGCCCGTGCCATCTCGCGAGGGCGCCGCGCTGGATAGGGGAACGTTAACCGCCTCGCTTCGGGGTGCCGGAGGAGGTCGTGGGTTCGATTCCAGCCCTAACGTTGTGGTGGCTAGGAGATGTTAACTACCTATACTTGATACAGCTATCGTGCTGTGACGGTTCCACCTGAAGATGTAAGCTTGTGTTGCCTCCGAAACGTCGTGATTTTTATTTCACTTTTATTAATTTTAATTTTATTTTTTACCTACGTCACTTTACCGAAAAAATCTTAGAGTATGAATCCTTGCAGTCACGAAAGCTTCAAATCTAGAATTATGTTAACTACCTCGCCAGGTGTGCAGGAGGTGGTGGAGGTTCAATCCCGACCATGACGCCCACAGTGGCTAGGAGATGTTACCTACGTCGCATGTTATACAGGAGTTCATGCTAATTCCTCACATTAACATAGCCACTTCCATGCCTTCGTCTAGGAGGCCGCTCCCCTAGCTGAATTTACATGCTAATTTCTCACATTAACATCATGCTAATCACTCACATTAACATAGCCACTTCCATGCCTTCGTCTAGGAGGCCGCTCCCCTAGCTTACTTTTACATGCTAATTTCTCACATTAACATCACTAGCCCCGGCCACTTCTTTATGACCCTTGAGCTACACCCATTTAAAACCTTTTAAAACAGTCTGCCTCAGCAGCAGACCATGCTTTCCCACCTTATGATGGATGCTTGTATGATTTATTTTATTTTATACCTACGTGACTTTACCGAAAGAACCAGAGAGTAAGGAGTTCATGGGTTCAATCCAAACCAACTCTGACACCAAGGTGGCTAGGAGATATTAACTGCCTCGCCCGGTATGCAGGAGGTCGTGGATTCGATCCCAAACCTCATGCCTGCTGCTGTATACAGTATTTGGAGTTTTAGTCTCTCTCTCTCTCTGTCCCCGTCGTCTGGTGGATTTTTCTCCGGGTCGTCCGGTTTATCTCTCCACATTTAGAATCAACGTCACACATTGAGAGTATTTGACTGCTGCTTTATATTTCCACGTCATGAGCCACTTCGTTGAGCTATCGTTTGTGGCCAGGTCGCTTCTGTAGTGGACAGAGACAATGACAGAGACAAAGACAGACCGGGTCTCTGATGGGGGTGTCTAGACAATGACAGACAGAGACAGACCGAGTCTCTGATGGGGGTGTCTAGACAATGACAGAGACAGAGACAGACCGAGTCTCTGATGAAGGTGTCTAGACAATGACAGAGACAGAGACAGACCGAGTCTCTGATGGGGGTGTCTAGACAATGACAGAGACAGAGACAGACCGAGTCTCTGATGGGGGTGTCTAGACAATGACAGACAGAGACAGACCGAGTCTCTGATGGGGGTGTCTAGACAATGACAGAGACAGAGACAGACCGAGTCTCTGATGGAGGTGTCTAGACAATGACAGAGACAGAGACAGACCGAGTCTCTGATGGAGGTGTCTAGACAATGACAGAGACAGAGACAGACCGGGTCTCTGATGGGGGTGTCTAGACAATGACAGAGACAGAGACAGACCGAGTCTCTGATGGGGGTGTCTAGACAATGACAGAGACAGAGACAGACCGAGTCTCTGATGGGGGTGTCTAGACAATGACAGACAGAGACAGACCGAGTCTCTGATGGGGGTGTCTAGACAATGACAGAGACAGAGACAGACCGAGTCTCTGATGGAGGTGTCTAGACAATGACAGAGACAGAGACAGACCGAGTCTCTGATGGAGGTGTCTAGACAATGACAGAGACAGAGACAGACCGGGTCTCTGATGGGGGTGTCTAGACAATGACAGAGACAGAGACAGACCGAGTCTCTGATGGGGGTGTCTAGACAATGACAGACAGAGACAGACCGAGTCTCTGATGGGGGTGTCTAGACAATGACAGAGACAGACCGAGTCTCTGATGGGGGTGTCTAGACAATGACAGACAGAGACAGACCGAGTCTCTGATGGGGGTGTCTAGACAATGACAGAGACAGACCGAGTCTCTGATGGGGGTGTCTACACAATGGCAGACAGAGACAGACCGAGTCTCTGATGGGGGTGTCTAGACAATGACAGACAGAGACAGACGGTCAGACTCTGACGTCGGCCTTCCATTGTGGCGTTGCAGCTGTGTTGGCTAAAGAGCAAGGGTCTTGCTGGCGCCGTTCTCTGGTCCCTGGATTTCGACGACTTCACTGGGACCACGTGCCAGCAGGGGAGACACCCTCTCCTGAGCGCCATGAACAGAGTCCTCGACACCCGCACAGGTAAACTCGACAACCACACAGGTAACCTCGACATCCGCACAGGTAACTTTGACGCCCGCACAGGTAACCTCGAAACCCGCACAGGTAACCTCGAAACCCAAACAGGTAACGTCTACAGATGGGCGAGTGAGTGAGTGAATGGTCGAGTGAATAAACGGGTGGGTGGGATGGTGAGTGAATAGTCGAGTGAGTGGATGGGTTGGTGGGTGGGTGAGTGGTCGAGTGAATGCACGGGATGGGTGTGTGGGTAAGTGAATGAATGGTCGAGTGAATGAATGGGCGGGTGGGTGAGTGAATGGGTTGGTGGGTGAGTGATTGGTCGAGTGAATGGATGAGTGAGTGAACGGGTGGGTGAGTGAATGTTCGAGTGAGTGAATGGGTTGGTGGGTGGATGAGTGGTCGAGTGAATGAACGGGATGGGTGTGTGGGTAAGTGAATGAATGGTCGAGTGAATGAACGGATGGGTGGGTGAGTGAATGGGTTGGTGGGTGAGTGATTGGTCGAGTGAATGGATGTGTGAGTGAACGGGTGGGTGAGTGAATGTTCGAGTCAATTAATGGGTGGGTTGGTGGATGAGTGAATGGTCGAGCGAGCGAACGGGTGGGTGTGTGAGTGAGTGAGTGAATGGTCGAGTGAATGGACGGTGGGGGCGTGTGAGTGAATGGTCGAGCGAGTAAATGGGTTGGAGGGTGATTGGTCTAGTCATTGGACGAGTGAGTGAACGGTTGGGTGAGTGAGTGAGTGAGTGAATGGTCGAGTGAATGGAGGAGTGAGTGAACGGGTGGGTGGGTGAGTGAATGTTTGTGCGAGTAAATGGGTTGGTGGGTGATTGGTCGAGTGAATGGACGAGTGAGTGAATGGGTTGGTGGGTGGGTGAGTGAATGTTTGAGCGAGTGAACGGGTTGGTGGGTGGGTGAGTGAATGGTCGAGTGAATGGACAGGCGGGCGGGTGAGTGAATGGTCGAGCGAGCAAATGGGTTGGTGGGTGAATGGTCGAGTGAATGGACGAGTGAGTAAACAGTTGGGTGTGTGGGTGAATGAATGGTCGAGCGAGTGAACAGGTTGGTGAGTGGGTGGGTGAGTGAATGGTCGAGTGAGTGAACGGGTAGGTTGGTAGGTGAATTAATGTTCGAGCAAGTGAATGGGTCGGTGTGTGAATGAGTGAATAGTCAAGTGAATGGACGGGTGAGTGAATGGTCGAGCGAGTGAACGGGTTGGTGGGCGGGTGAGTGAATTGTCGAGCGAGGGAACGGGTGGGCAGCAGTAGTGGGGTTCAGTTTGACATAGAGTTGTGGCTGCCGCTGCTACTGCCGCTGCTGCTTCTTCTTCCACACAGGGACCTACGATGAGTGCCTGGCCTCCATGCTGAACCGCACGGAGGAGGTCTTAGAACCACTGCCCTCCGCGTCCTTCGACTATCCGGGCCGTGCGGAGCGGATGCGTCGTCACGCCTCGCTCCAGCTCGTCCTGATGCCGCCGCTTCTACTCCTCGCCCTCCTCCTGGTCGACGTTAATTGGCGCTAAGCTGCGCCAACGAGGATTGGGGGAGGGCGGTGAGGGAGGCGAGGGAGGGAGAAAGGGAGTGAGGGAGGTATGGAGGTGAGCGAGGTGAGGGTGGGAGGGAGTTGAGGGAGGTGAGTTGAGGGAGGTGAGGGAGGTGAGGAAGGGGGGTGAGGGTGGGAGGGAGGTGAGGAAGGGAGGTGAGGGAGGGAAGTGAGGGAGGGAGGTGAGGGAGGTAGGTGAGGAAGGGAGGTGACGGAGGTGAGGGAGGGAGGTGAGGGTGGGAGGGGCGGAGGAAAGTGAGGGAGGTGAAGGAGGGAGGGGCGGAGGGAGGGGTGGAGGGAGGGAGGTGAGGGAGGTGAGGGAGGGAGGTGAGGGTGGGAGGTGAGGGTGGGAGGTGAGGGTGGGAGGGAGGTGAGGGAGGGAGGTGAGGATGGGAGGTGAGGGTGGGAGGGAGGTGAGGGAGGGAGGTGAGGGAGGGAGGTGAGGATGGGAGGTGAGGGTGGGAGGGAGGTGAGGGAGGGAGGTGAGGGTGGGAGGTGAGGGTGGGAGGTGAGGGTGGGAGGGAGGTGAGGGAGGGAGGGGCGGAGGAAAGTGAGGGAGGTGAAGGAGGGAGGAGTGGAGGGAGGGAGGTGAGGAAGGGGGGTGAGGGTGGGTGGGAGGTGAGGGAGGTGAGGGAGGGAGGTGAAGGAGGGAGGTGAGGGTGGGAGGGAGGGAGGTGAGGGAGGGAGGGGAGTTCAATAAAACGTTGTCGACAAAACAAAAGATCGCACCAAACTGTAACCCGTGTAAAACCCGTGTCAATGTTCAACGTAAACATTCATTTCAACTAACGCGAAATCGTAACGCAACAACGACAACAAAACCTCCCAATCGTCGGATTCTATAAATTGCTCAGACGGTAAAATGCGTACGCATCGAACCGACGACCATGCCTTATCCCACGGCGTTGTTGATGTTTGAACCGGAAAGAGCAGACGGGTGGACTCCTCCACAAATCTGGCTGTCGCCTGATGAAGCTGGTTGTAATTACTGGCGAAACGTCGTTACTCAGATTGTAAATGTTGTGGCTTGGCTCTCCAATACACAACCGGTGTGCTGTACTATTATACTACACTACTATACACCACACTATACACTAGACTATACACTACTACACTATACACTACACTATACACTACTATACACTACACTACTATACACCACACTATACACTAGACTATACACGACTACACTATAGACTACTACACTATACACTACTACACTCTACACTACTACACTATACACTACTACAATATACACTACACTATACACTACTATACACTACTATACACTACACTATACACTACTACACTATACACTACTACACTATACACTACACTATACACTACTATACATTACACTATACACTACACACTACACTATACACTACACTATACAATACTATACATTACACTATACACTACTATACGCTACACTATACAGTACTATACACTACTATACACTACACTATACACTACTATACACTACATTATACACTACTATACACTACACTATACACTACTGTACACTACACTACACACTACACTACTATAGACTACACTATACACTACTATACACTACACTATACACTACTATACACTACACTATACACTACTATATACAGTACTACACTATACGCTAGTGCTGTACTATTGATTGTCACGTTCTGTTTATGTGACAACCCTTACTAGGTGACTGCGTCGGGTGTTGGCGAGTTTTAACGACACGTATATTTACACGAAATAACCCCTAAAAACCTACGTGTTAAACTGAAAGAACGATTCATACTAAAGGCATATGTTGGGGGTTAGATCACATAAAGTATAAATGTTGTGTCTAACCCTCCGCCCCCCGACACAGCCAGTAAGGTTTGTCACGTAAACAAAACGCGCCAATAAGTTTACCACTTCAGCCAAAAAATTCACAATGTGAGTGGCACCGTGACGTGTCGCTGGTAATGATATCAACCAGCTTCAGCGGGCGATTTGCCAGAATAGTGAAGCAATCCGCACTGCCTTCTTGGTTCTTTCGGTAAAGTCACCTAGAAGGGAAATAATTAAAATAAAACATCATAAAATAATTCTCACGACGTTTCGGCCACAACGCAAGCAGCCGTCCTCAGGTGTAGAACAAGTCTGTCGGAAAGACAACGTCTGAATGAAAATATACAATCCCCATTGCTTAGATCGAGCAGCAGGACAACACCATCGCTGAACCCCATCAGGTGCAGAGATCAGAGACTGGAGGAGCGGGGCGTTTGTTGTAATTATATAACAGATTATTATTAAATCAGTTAATAACCATGTGTTTATTCTGTGAAGGAATACAGTTGTAAGATGTATTACTTTACATTCTTTGGGTATTTCGGTAAAGTCACGTAGATAGGTTCAAAGAAATAACATAAAAAAACAAAAAACTACGACGTTTCGATCGCAACGCAAGCGGTCGTACTCCTGATGGGAAAGAACGTGGGACTCTACGACACTTCCCTACACGTGGTCGTCCCCGGATGTTACATCATCATCGCGACAAAGAACTGCTCGCGCCCGCGTCAGATAATGGCGGTGGCGGTTCTGCCGGGCAGGGCGGGACCCTGAAGCCACTGGGTTACGTCTCACGTCGTGGTAGTAGTCAAAGCAAGCGGACGCCCCACGGTGGCGAGATGTTGACTACCTCGCCTGGTATACAGGAGGTCGTGGATTGGATCCCGACCCTGACGACGTTTGTTGTATGCTTGGGAATTTGCGTGTCTCTCTCCCTGTGGTAGCGTGGAATTTTCTCCGGTTCTTGCCTCCGCATTTCGAATCGACATCGCGCGTTTAAAGTATTTGGCTGCTATAAATGACCACGTGATGATGATAAACCACTTTGTTGAACTATCATTTGTGGCCAGGTTGCTTCTGAAAAAAGCTACATAGCTCAGTGGGCGCCACAGTGGCTAGGAGATGTTAACTTCCTCGCCTGATATGCAGAATGTCATGCGTTCGATCCTGACCCTGGCAAAGCCTGCTGTATATTTTGAGTTTGCATGTTCTGTCCGTGGTCACGTGAACTTTTTCTCCGAGTCTTCCGGGTTTTCCCTCTATATTTAGAATCAACATCACGCGTTTAGAGTGTATGGCTGCTATACATATCCACACGATGATGATAAACCACTTCGTTGAACTATGTGGCCAGTTTGCTTCTGAAAAAGAGCTATATAGCTCAGTGGGCGCCACGGTGGCTAGGAGATGTTAACTACCTCGCCTGTTATGCAAAAGTTCGTGGGTTCGATCCCGACCGTGACTATGCCTGTTATATATTTCGAGTTTGCATGTTCTCTCCGCGGTCGCTTAGATTTTTTTCTGGGTTCTCCGGTTTTTCTCTTCACATTTACAATCAGCATCACTACGTATTTAAAGTATTTGGCTGCTATAAATTTCCACACGATGACGATAAACCACTTCGTTGAGCTATCATTTGTGGCCAGGTCGATTTTTAAAATATAACTAATAGCTAAGTGGGCCTTACCTCGTAAAATAAAAAGGTATTTTTTTACTTTTTTAGTTAATTCGTTTTAGTGCTTTGCTCGCCTTTCCTATAGTTTTTATTATTTGTTGTAACTTTCTGACCCCGTACCCCTACTGGACATCTGTGAAAAAGAGCTTCATAGCTCAGTCGGCCTTACTTGGTAAAATAAAAGAAATATAGTCGTAATATTTGAAACAAATTTTTGCCAGTTTCTTTTTCTCAGTCCTGAACAGCAACAGCAGCCGATAAGCTACGGTTCCGTCCGTATCGGATCACACCTGGGGGTGGTGTTCGCCGGCAAGCACCTGGTGGCCGGGTGACCCACGTAATCCGGTCGGGCCCAGCCAGAAATGGTTACGTGGCACCGTCCTGTGGGTCCTCCATCCGCAGGACGAAGGGTGAGGGGTGGGTGCGATGCCAGTATGGCAAGGGGAAAGGATGGTCTCGGACGGACTGGACCTTGGCGATGGACACTGGCTATTGTGACGCTGAATGTCACCTCACTGGGGGGGAAGAAGTCGGAGCTGGTGGAGGAGATGGAAAAGTATCGACTCGACATAGCCACACGCAGCATTGGCACTGGAACCAATCTTCTCGATCTGAGGTGGTCTCTCTACTATTCCGGAGTAACCCCTGGTGGGAGGCCCCGGGGCAGGTGTGGTGATACTCACAAGCCCCCGGCTGGGTGCTGTTCAGTTGGAGTTTGTCCCAGTGGAGGAGAGGGTCGCCTTAATGAGACTTCCATCTCAGAGAGGAACACTGACTGTTGTCTGTGCTTATGCCAGAGGTCGCAATCGGGTACCCGATACCCGTACCCTACCCGATACCCGGCTACCCGTACCCGGCCGGGTACGGGTACGGGTAGCCGTTTGCGACCCTGGTGCGGCTGGGTACAGGTAGCCGCACGTGACTCACCCCAACCAATGAGTGAGAAGGCCGTGAGTCACTGGTGAGTAACCGTTTGTCACTCATTTCCCAACGTCTTGTTTCTTCTCACAATTCAAGTTCCTAGAATCAACCCACCCACGCCTGCAACATGGCTTCATCCCAGAGGTCGCAATCGGGTACCCGATACCCGTACCCTACCCGATAGCCGGCTACCCGTACCCAGCCGGGTACGGGTACCCGTTTGTGACCCTGGTGCGGCCGGGTACGGGTAAGGAATCAAAATCCGTTTGCGACCTCTGGCTTATGCACCAAACAGCAGTTAATAATGTTCAGCCTTCTTGGAGACGGTGGGTGCAGAGCTCGACAGTGCCGCCTACCGACTCCATAGTTATATGGGTCTTTCGGTAAAGCCACGTAGATAGAAAAATAAAAATATCACGACATTTCAATCGCAACACAAGCAATCGTCTTCAGGTGAGAAGACGCTTTTGTTGCGATCAAAACGTGATATATTTTTTATTGATAATAGGTGTTTCCCCTTTTATCTGGCAACAAAACAGGTGTTAAGATGTTTAAACACCAAA